TTGTGGCTGCGGAGGGCTCTACGGTAGAGAGGGAGGAGAGACGATGATGGCTGCGGGAGAGAGGGAGGAGAGACGGAGGAGAGAGAGAGAGGGAGGATGGAGGAGTTAGGGTTTTTTACTATTTATATGGTAGGGTGAATAATTGGGTGTGATAAATTTTTACCCTTCCAAAAATACCCTTTCTTTAATCTTAACCGTTAATTTGAAAAAAGAAGAAAGAGACAGGAGAGAGAGCATATCCAAGGGCTATGAAGTGGGTTGTGAATCTGACAACCCCCTTAATGGGTTGTCACCGTATCTCGTCCCTGCAAATGGTTTTCATTTTATGGTTTTGGAGGCCGTGGAAAGAGTGCTACTTTCGTGATTTCTTACAACTTAGGGACCAATAAAGTAATTATGTTTAATTGGCACTTTTTGTTACCTAAATCATACATACATTTTTCTTACCCTAATGATCTGTTGACTATTCTTTCCCTTGCTTATCGATCACGCTTAGGGTCGTTGGACCAGGGTCGGAAATAGAGGGAGGAACAGGGACGGCCGGCGTAGGCGGGCGGAAATGGGGAGGTTCGGATAGAGAGTGAGAGAGAGAGAGGTAGGGATGGCCGGTGGTTGCGTAGAATATATAGAATAATCAAGTGTGATCTTATTTTTTCTTCCAAAATTGTCTTGGAGCAATCTTAACTGTGAAATTAAAAAAATAGAAAAAATAGATGGTGAATACTAATGTAGCCATGGTGGCTACTAGAGTTCTAGTAACCACCTTAACGTGTTCCAAGGAAGTGCTAGAGGTGTTCGTATAATTGGGGAAGTGCATAAGCAAAAATTGGTTAAGTGGTTCTTAGTTGAGGTAATTACTAATTCATTGATTAAAATATGTTTATTAAACTTGTGTTTTAACTTTTGAATTCATTCAAATATGTTGACATTGCATATTACAAGAATGCAGTACACAGGTTATTATATCAATGGGCTAAATTACACGTTTGGTCACTCGAATTATACAAATCTTTCACGTTTGCCACACGAATTACTTTTCTTTCTTATTCGCCACTAACTTTACGAATCATTTCACCATTAGTCACCGGCCGTTACACTCCGTTAAATTTGTCCTAGGTGGCAGTCAACTATAAAGTTTGACCGTTAACTAGATGACGTGGAAATAAAAAATAAAATATTTTATTTGTCCACCTCACTATTCCACTTACTTTGTATATATGATTTATCATCCTCAAATTAATTATATTTTTTTTAATTTAATTTAATTATATTACGACATCCCAGGACATCACCGCCGCCCCCAAGCGCACCTCCCGCACCAGCACCACCGCCAAACCCAACCGTCAGCTCCCCCAACTAGACCTCCATCACCTCCGCCGCCAAGTCCACCTCCACTGAGCACGCCTCCCGTTCCACCGGATAGTCCACCTCCAGATCCAGCTACTGGTTTTCCGCCACGCCGCCGAAAACATCGCTTTTCTCCCCTTTCCTTCCCTTCTTCTTCATCCTCGTCGCACGGGCCCAAATTAAAGAAATCAGGCTTACCGGCGTTCCCCACAAGCCCAAAAAAATATAACCGTCAAGCCAACTTTAACCCACGTCGCCGGCGAAAAAGATAACTGAATCCCCCAACCGCCCAATTTCAAACCGACGCTCTGTTTTCATAATTTTGCTTTCTCCTCTGCAATAAAATCCCATTAGCAGCAAAGCAATTCTTCACTTAATTCCAACCAAAACAGGAAAGATCGAGCACGAAAATGGCAGCTTCAGTTATCCTCTTCTACCGCCTCTTCGCCGTTCTCATCTCCATCTTCTTCCTCTTCTCTACCCTCTCCACCACCCCTGTTTCTTCTCTGCAGTTCCAAGTCAGCGCCACCACCCGGCAACGGCGACAACTACTTCGACCAATGGGCTACACAAAACAGGTTCCACGTCGGCGACTGGCTCAGTAAGTCGCATCACTAATCCACATACTTCCTCATTTCCCCCAATTCTCAAAACATCTCTTTAATCCTATTCCTACAGATTTTGTTTACAGGAGTAATGAATCCGACTTGGTGCTGCTAGTCAACTCAACCGCCTACTCGAATTGCATTATAAGGTGGACAAATAATTTTTTTTTTTTTTTTTTAATTTCCATATCATCTAGTTAACGGTCAAACTTTATAGTTGACTGCCACGTAGGACAAATTTAACGGAGTGTAACGGCCGGTGACTAACGTGAAATAATTTGTAAAGTTAGTGGTGAATAAGAAAGAAAAGTAATTCGGGTGGCAAACGTGAAATATTTGTATAATTTGAGTGACCAAACGTGTAATTTAGCCTATATCAATGCATGGATTCAGATTTCACACAAGAATACGTAAATTGACAAAACATAGTTAGAATAGTGGTGACTTAGTGAGAGGGGAGACTGATGGTGGAATTCTTTACTATAGGGTCCTCATTGATATCATTGAGTTTTGTTATATTAAAGGACTTCGGGTTGTATGATTTTTGTGTGAGTGGTATGATGCAACTCGAGAATGTGTTGGCGATAAGAAGGATGACCATGGTATTATTTTTTTATAAGGTGACATATATTCATTTTTTGTGATTAATGTACTATTGAACGAATTCGAATCTGGAACCTCCATATCTTAGGCTAGTGGTATTACATACCGCTAGACCAAGGTATTATTACCATTAAAAGAAGATGAAAGCTTAGAACTGAAGCAATACATGTTTTGTTTACTATGTGAAGTCTTTGAAATATCCGGGTTGGGAAACTGTGAATCTGCGATAGAAACAATGCCAATAAATTTGTTTCAGATGCTCTAATTAAATATTTAGGGATATGTCTATGGTGACATGCATGTCATCCTAACTTGCACTTTTAGGTCGACCTAATATGCCGTTTCAGTTTTGTGAGGTTCAACGTCGCGGTTGACCTTTTAGAGCAAATGGTCGACCTCTTGGGAAGCGCATGGATGACATGTAAGACTACATGGGACAGATTTTCACCCAGATGACTAGCATGTACGACTACATGGGGCAAATGACCACCCAGATGAGCACACTACAGGGGACCGTGAATGAGATGCGAGATGAGTTTCGATCTTTCAGTGGAAGATACATGCATGTCACCGTAACTTCCGACTACCATAATGCTAGCAACACCAATGAAGAAAATGTGGATGAGGGAGAGAGGGGACAGGAGTAGGAACTCGACGATTTTAGATTGTGTGTTTTTATTGTTAAGTGTTAAAAACGATTGTGGATTGATATTATGTGGTTTTAGATTTTAGTAATGTGTGAACAATTATGATTTGTGTTTTATTGTATTTCTTGTTGGTTTGTTTAGTTGTTATGTTATGAAGTTATGAGTCATTGTCATCATTATTTATGACTGATTCTGTTGGTTTGAAACGTAATTGTACGAGCAAAAGAACAACCCACATCGCTTCCCAAAGAGGTCGACCATTTGCTATAAAAGGTCAATCGCGTCGTTGAACCTCACAAAACGGAAACGACATATTAGGTCGACCTAATCCTATATAAGGTCGGCCTAAAAGTGTAGATTAGGTCGACCTAATCCTATATAAGGTCGAACTGTGACATGCATGTCACCGTAGCAAAGTCATATATTTAATTACTCAATATATCTTGTTCAATTGACTTCAATTGAGAATTTTTTTTTATGAATTTTTTTTTTACTTCGTTGCAAGATATGACAATGTCACAAAACATTATAAATATTTGTGATAACAATTTCATTTATGTAAAAAAACATAACATATTAGTGACGAACGATGTCTGGATGCGCAAATAATTCTGCGTCGACACAACTTGTTAACATTATCGTTACCAGTGATCAGTCAAAAATATAAATTTTGCAACGAAGTATTTCTAATGATGATTTCATCAAGGTTGTTAAACATGTTTATACATTGCGTCGGTTTAGCAAGTGAAATGGTTCAAGCGATGGTACAACAGGTTTGTGTCGGTTCATGCTGGTTTAACAAAATCTATAAAAATGCGAAAAACCATTAACATAAAATGAATTTAATCATATGTATACATACTTGAAGATAATTTAATTACAATCCATATTCATATTTAAATAAATATGAAATTCCAAATAAAATAACAAATATTCATATTTAAATACAATATTTAACGTCAAATACCTAAACATTTATACTTGAATCCAACAAATAAAATCAACATTTAACTTTGCAATTCATAAAATAAATAATTAAATGTATTATTTAAAATTCAATAAAACAATGTCATTTTGCTTAGAAATCATAAATTGATCATGTCGGTGGTGTTCAACCCGGTTTCATGAACTGCACCGGTTAAATCTGATTTAACCGACCGAAATTCTGCCGGCGTGACTACCATAGATTTCATTGTCCTCAGTATATTCAATAGTACCGACCAAGTGTGAGCATGTCACACATATGAACTTTTGTGACGAAGTATTACTGATGGTGGTGACAAGAAATTGTCACAAAAACAAAAAATATTTTACAGAGGTTTGGTTTACCCTTCCAAGTCATATGTAGTAATCAAAATATTGCTTTAGAAGTTTTTTTTTAATTCATCTAATAACATGTATCATATTTGACATGCATAAGCGGTTCATGAAACGATTAACCATTGGTTCAAGAATGATTAATAAGTAAACCATAAACTACTAATATTTCTAGTTTGATGGCGGATTGCGTTTAAAAAAAAAAAGGAGATATCTACCAAAGAATTATGCTCGTGAAATTTTTGTCATGTCATGTATTAAAAGTTTGATAACCTAAAATTAACAGTGAAGAATAGTAGCTGAAATAATATATTGTGTTAGTGAGAATCATTGGAACCCTTCAACAAAAGCTAGAACACAAAAGATAACTGCGAAAAATAATTGGGAAAGCACTAAAACGAAAGAATAGGAAGACAAAAATGACGATATATGCCTGGCACTCCACACTTCCCGCCTAATGTTCCCTTCTATTTCCTCCATCATTTTTTTTTTTTACTCTAATTAGTTCCTTTTTTTCTCGCTTGTGTATATATATAATCCATGCCAGCCATCTTTTGTTAGCTCCCAGGCTTCTCAAAAATAAAACCCCAAAAAAACCCCAAAAAATCCTCTCATTTTGGCTGTTTGTCCGTTGGCGCGGACAGCCAATTGCGGTCCTGAACCTTTCAGGACCTTGGCTTTGAAGCCTGGGAATTTGACCCTTATTCTCCAGGGATAAAAAAAAAAAAGCAGACACACAAAAACGAGAGAAAAAAAAAATTCTCTAACATGGCTTCCCAATCTATTAAGTTTTCCTTTTTCTTGGTTATGTTCACGACGTTAGTAGCGTTCCTTGACGCTCACATTGCCGATTTTGACAACTATTGGAAACAACGAGCCGAGGAGGCGAAACGGGTGGCTCTGGAGACGTACCACCCGGACCCGTACAACGTGACAGAGCATTTCAACACAATGGTTCACATGGACCTATTCGGGTCGAACGAAACTCGACGAAGCATGAAGAGGTACATGGGTAAATGTTTGGCGACCAACCCCATCGATCGATGCTGGCGGTGCGATCCCAACTGGGCCAACAACCGCCAAAAGCTGGCCGACTGCGTCCAGGGTTTCGGGTACAAGACCACGGGAGGAAAAGGCGGTCCCATCTACGTCGTCACAGATGGTTCCGACACCGACCTGGTCAACCCGAAACCCGGGACGCTCCGACACGCGGTGATCCAGAAAGGTCCCCTCTGGATCACCTTCGGTCGGAGCATGATCATCAAGCTCACGCAGGAGCTCATGGTGAGCAGCGACAAGACCATCGACGCCAGAGGGGCAAACGTCCGCGTGGCGTATGGGCCCGGGATCACGCTCCAGTACGTGAACAATGTGATCATCCATGGGCTCCATGTCCACGACATTGTTCCCGGGGCCGGTGGGCTGATTCGCGACTCGGTGGATCACTTCGGGTTTCGGACCAGGAGCGACGGCGATGGGATCTCGCTGTACGGGGCGACTAACGTGTGGATTGACCACGTGTCCATGTCCAATTGCGGGGACGGAATCATCGACGCGATTATGGGGTCCACCGCCGTCACCATCTCTAACGCCCATATCACCGATCACAACGAGGTAATTCAAAATTAAATTCGACTCAGCTCGACTTAATAATATCGCAAATTTCTATCGAAATAAAAAAAATTAATGTATACTTTTTTCCCCTCTCCATTAGGTGATGTTATTTGGAGCGAGTGGGAGCTACTCTGGGGACTCGATCATGCAAATTACAATCGCATTCACCCACTTTGGGAAAGGTCTGGTTCAAAGGATGCCGAGGTGTCGATGGGGTTTCTTCCATGTCGTAAACAATGACTACACTCACTGGCTAATGTACGCCATCGGTGGTAGTAACCACCCCACCATTATCAGCCAGGGTAATCGCTTCATTGCTCCAGAAAATGTCGCATCCAAAGAGGTAAATGAAGAACTTAAGTGGTCGTTTGCTGCAAGGATTTTATAACGAGGATTTTGTCATGAATTTGCTAATTGAAAACCTTGGGATTTATTAAGGATTTTGGGCATTATGGATTTGAGGAAATCCTTTGTTTGTTGAGCTATTTTTATCATGGATTTGATTGTTTTTCAGCTTGTCTCCAAATCTCAGGGTATGAGGTGGGATTTATAAAACCGTGGGGTCCATGGATTTGGAGCAAAAAAAAAACTCAAATCAGTGGGCCCCACAGATTTATCTAAACATTTTTTGACAAAGCAAACAACGGATTGTGTGTAAATCCATGATGGTTGGTTTTTTGGTACCAAATCCATGATGCAAATCGTTGAAGCAAACGATCACTAAGAGTCAAAACAATAACGTTCAACTTTCGTAATAATATGCATGGCCTCATGATAGGTTTTTTTTTTTTAATGATAAAAAACTTCTGAACACGTACGGTTTATCATCAGGTGACAAAGAGGGAGTATGCACAAGAATCAGAGTGGAAGAATTGGGACTGGATATCGGAGGGAGATCTGATGATGAATGGTGCTTTCTTCGTACCATCGGGAAACCCTGAAGCGTACAAAAAAGTTTCGAGGCAACAACTCATCAAACAAAAGCCTGGAACCTTTGTTACTAGGTTGACTCGTTTTTCTGGAGCACTGGATTGCTTTGTCGGGAAGCCATGCTGAATCATGAAAACACTGAAACAGTAAAGATTTTTTTTTTTTAAGATGATTAAAAGAAGAATCTCACACATACTTCTATCTATATGTAGAAAACAAAATATATATACGTCATACGATTTGTTTGTATGATGTACCTTAAAGATAGGGCGAAACGTAGGAGGAAAGAGTTGATGGAGGAAGAAGAAAATTAATGCAAGAGTCTCTCAAGTAAAAAAAAGAAGAAGAAGACTTTAGAAGGATTAAAGGAATCATCATACTCACTCATAAGCATCATTAATTAGATGTTTGTTTTTTTTATTTTTCTTTTTGGTGTCTCCTGTGACAAGCAGGTAAAGGTGGGATGAAAGAAGAATTTGAGTGAGTTTTTTTTCTCCCCCTTTTCTTCTCTCTACATATCTTTTTCTTCCCATTTTTTAGGCTATCATTTGAAATCGGAAAAAGTGAAAATTGTAGTTAGCCAAATGATAATGAGATTTGATCAATTGTGTTGAGATCTCTTTCTATTATCTTTTTGTAGCCTTGCTAGTAAAAAAGGAGGCCGCAACATTGTAAATTACCCATTGAAATGAAAGTACTCTACATTCAAATGATTCATGTTAAAGCAATCTATTATTTGTATTTAATATTTGATTCCATTTCCACGTTGTCAAATTTAAGAAATTGTCTACAAAATTCGAATCATTTACTTCATTTGAAACTTTCTAAGTTAGAATCCACATAATATTTCAATATTATCATATTAAATAATTCATATACTTTGTTTGTTCGAATAATTATTTATATACCATATATCTACAAGTGAAATATTTAATATTATCAATTGAAATATTAATAATTATTATGTATTCGAATAGTATATACTGTATTTTTTTATAAATGAATAATAATTGCTTATTTTGACTGGAAAATTTAATGTGTAAAAAAGGGGAGAAAATGTGTCATGAAAAAAATGTCAAAGCCTTATTTTGTACTTGAGATTTTCTAAAGGAGGTAAACAAGTCAAATACAGTTGTCTATGCATCGAGTTTAAGGAATCAGAATGAGGGACAAAGCATATAGGTAGCCTTGTGAGATTTGTGTCTGCTCATTTCTTTTTTATGTGATAAATCTCTCTTACCATGATGTGTAGTATTCACGGTGCCACTAATGAGAAAGATGGAGGCATAGGATTAGTCCACGACCAAATTGACTGTCCCAGTGTGCCATACCTTTTAGTCAACCCCCTTGAGTCATGTGTCTTTCTTTCTTTGTGTCTACATCAATGAAGAGTTACCCTTGTGTCTGTTTGAAGCTCCCATTATTTGAACTTATAACTAGAGGTTCCACAAAATGATTCTTGCATGATTTCTGCCAAAAGTAAAAGTGAGCGATGGAGGAAGTTCTTAAAATTGAGCATGTGTACCTAAAGTTTCAAGCATGTGGCATGTGATTTTTGGCTTTCAACAAAATGAAAAAACATCTAGAGAGAGAAAGTGACAAAGAATACCCTTGGGCAAGGATTGGAGCGATCTGAAGACCTTGGAGCTCAATTCCTCACCCTTGGAGTACTGATTAGCCGCTTGGAGCAGATTTTCATTGTCCGCACGGAAAGTTCTTGACAAGTCTGGAATCTTGACTAAAAAATTCCAGACCCTCTCATTTCGAATACGCGACGGGCGACTAACCTCCGCCGGAGTAAGCTAACCAAGGCACTAATACACCTAACTTCCACTACTAGATTTCAATTCGAGTACAGAGCAGTGAATTGATTACTCGATTAAAGTAATCGATCCACTACTTCCAATTAAGGTTGGTCTATTAACCTATGCAGAGACTATCGTTCTAGATTAAAGTAGGAATCACAAAAGTTCGATAAGGACTCATGCAATTCGTAATAATGCCTCAATCGAATATATCGAATCAATCATCCACGAAATCATGTTCATATAATCATTTCTAACATATACGACTAGGGTTCTTGATACCCAGATGAGAAGAGAGTTTACTTCATGGAGAGAAGAGAAATCACCTAGTGTGGAAGAGAAATCATCATGTGAGGGATGAGAATTTGCTCCAGGCTAGAAACATGTTTTGAGGCAACCGGTTGAGCCGAGTCGTTTTGAAGTTCTTATTCAAATAATTTTGGTTGGCAGCAGCGGAGCCAAAGGAGTTAGGCTATGTCACATGACACAAATAAGTTTTTAGAAAACGATAATAAACTCCTATATATATGCATATGAAAAGGATTGAAGTAACCAATTTAAGGTTAGTAAATATACCCAAACTCACTTATTGTTAATTGATTGCCATTAAATTAATTTTATTACGTACGTTATAAGTGATATCCTCAATCGAAATTATTTTTTTTATGAAAAACGAACACACCTAAGTTTAACTTCTCGCTCCGCCACTGTTGGTTGGGCGGTGGAAAACAGGAAAAAATCCTCTCTAGCGACATTTTTTTACCACGACGATTTTGAAAGCCATCGGTCAAATGTGAAAATCAAATATTTATACTATCATTTATATGGATGTCGGAAAAACATATTTCACAGAGATATATATTGCGATAATTTTTACTAACATAAATTAATCCTGAAATTATATGAGTGTGTGGCATCATTTATATATAAAAAAAAACATCAGAATACATATATTTTGTAGCCATATAATATAAGCAAGTGTCTTGTATGTGTATTGGTCTTACTCTTGCTAGTTTTTTGTCTTATCAGTTATCAACACCATCTCCATAGCTTAGATGAAAGCGATGACCGAAGCTTCATCCCCCCTTTCTTTTCTTGTCCCCCCTTCTGTCCATTTTTTTCTTTCTCTTGATTCCTTTCCTTTTCGTTATTACAGAATCGATTGTCCTTCGTAAAACCCGACAATAGTTTTGAAAGTGTTAGGTGGAAAAAAGTGGGGGAAATCAAACAACAAGACAACAACAGCAAAACCAAACACACAGACTTTAAAAATCTTGTTGGTCGACGGATAATCCAGAGGCCCAATGCCGAGGTATGAATTCCCCTCCCTCATTCGCATATTGTTACAACATTCATTTCCATTGGCCATATTCTCCTCCAATAATAGCAATAAAACCAGCAACTCTTTTTTTGACAGGTTTGGTTAATTGAGCCATTACCCCACCCGACAAATTCCAGTTTCTGAAAAGCCAATATGTATGCACACGTTTTTTTGGCCATTGGGAATGAGCCAAGTTTCCCATTTTGTCTTCATCGTTAATTGCACGTCTTACCATTTTGGCGTTTGGTCCGCTAGCTCCACAGAGTCTAAGTGCCAATCATACCATAAAATTGTGAATGCATATCATAAAGAGCAATTCTACTATGCTATATAGCATTGGTGCTTTAATGTACAATTTAAAGTTGTACAATAACATTAAATGTATAAGTTTAGGTTGTACCATAAAGCAATTTGTACAATTATGTTATGGTACAACTTTACAACTTCAAGTTGTACCATAAAAAAATTTCAAAAGTATAGGTACAATCTGAAGTTGTACCGTAACGTAAATGTACAATTTTAAGTTGTACCATAAAGGCAAAAACCTATAGCACCAATACTATATAGCATTGTAAAATTTCTCATATCATAAATTTGCGAATACATATTGCCCAAAATCAATGAATAGATACCAACAAGCAAACATCATATATGTAGGAGACTTGTGAATCCATACCGTAAAAGATTCACGAATCCATACTAGATAATTGTGAATCCGTGCCAATAAAAACAATGCACATATGGAAATCAAGTTTATGGTATGCATTTGTAAGTTTATGGCATGGGTTAAATATTTTTTTTAGTATCAAACTGTGTTAGCATTCTTATATACCATAGAGTGTTAACACCTTATCACCTCCTTGGAGGAAGATAAGATATTATCACTATTTCGTGTTATCAATCAAGATCAAATCGAGGAAGTAGTTAAATCTTAAAGTACTGTAAAGTAGCATTTAAGGTTTACTGGAGGAGCGGTAGCAGTAGTTGGGTTCATTCTCACCATTATGATCTGCCATATACCGAAACTAGTTCTCCTAGGGTGCGTTTGGATACAAGGATTTGGATTTGGTATTTGTGATTTGGATTTTCAAATACCAAATCATGTGTTTGGATATTAATTACATTTGGTATTTGGATTTGTGTCAAATTCATGGGGTGATTTCCAAATACATGTCTAGTGTATTTTTTGTCAACTTCAAATACATTTCAACAACTAGTGATTTGAAATACCTCCTAACAAAAGAATGGACCTATTTGTAAAATATGAAAAGTTTAGGTACTATAGTGTGAGGCAAAACATATAAAGGTACCAAAATGTAATTTTACCATCAAAATTTCAGGACCTTTTTGTAAAATTTTAAAAGTTTAGGTACTAAATTGTAAGAAAAAATAATTTCGGGTACCAAACTGTAATTTACCAAAATTTGTAGTAAGTGGCCAGAAAATTGAAAATTGAAATTGAAAATCATAAATACAAAAATACAAACAAATTACAAATGAGTATCCAAACAATGAATTTGAATTACATGTATTTCAAATGCTAATACTTCAAATACATCCATTTCAAATGCTAGTATTTCAAATACCTTATATTTAAAATACACTTATCCAAACGCACCCCTAGTGAACTTCCGAGCCTTGATGTTCATAGCACACATCCTTGATTGTTGGGGGAAAAAATTCCAAACGAGTCACCCGAAAAGACTCTAGTACCACTTGCTACGACGAACGATCATAGGCCAAGTAAAGAAAATGGACGACACAGAATTACATTCTTCACTAATAGAATGTGTACTATCTATGTCCACACATGCAAAGAGAGAACGAAATCCACTTTTTTGTAGCAGTGAATACATATTGCAGAACATATCCCAGAACTAATTAGAATGTAACTAAAATTGACTAGATAATTAGAGTGCTACATAGGATATTTATAATTCACTTTCTCAACTCTAAATTAAAAATACTTGACTGAAACAAATGGTAAATAAAAAAATTCCATACAAAATATTCAAGACCTTCAATGGCTGCCCATGGTGTTATGGACCTATGGTGCAGAAGTGTTGGGTGTAATTGAACCAAGGTTGTCAACCCGCGGGTTGACCCGGACCCGGTCGAGCTAGTGGGTCAAGGGTTAATGGGTCAACCGTTTTAGCCCGGTTTGGCCCGGAAATATGGAAAAAGTCATTATATTGTACTTATCCTCATAAATTATATCAAATCTTATCTAACATATGTGTTATAACATATAATATTACACCAAAATAACATATCGTATATAGATCTAACATATAGTGAAAATTCACACACACTTATATAACATAAATATTCAAATGTTCAACTTAGCATTCCAAAAATTGAGCTAGGCGAAAAGAAAAATCGGAAAATAGGCCCATTTCGCAAACCGATGAAAAAAATGACACAATTTGACCTCCAACCCGGTACCTTGTAGCGGTTGGCCCGGCGGGTGCGTGCGGCCCGTTTTTCTTACTGGGTCAGGGTCAAAGTGGGTCGACCCGCGGGTCAACCCGGGTTGACAACCTTGAATTGAACTAATTAGTCGTCCAGTTTGTCAATGTTTCTTTTTCTTCTTGTTTTTTTCTGACGTGAGAATGATGTTTTCCAGCCACCTGGTCTGGCTAGCCATCTGAATTAAGATAATATAATGTAATCCTAGCTAATTACTTTCCAAATACAAATGAAAAGTCTGTCAATAATTAGAAAAGAACAGTGATAATCCCAAGAAACTTACACAGAAAGCACATTGTTGACAGTAGGAATCTGAAATCAAGAAGATTAGGTAAATTAATCATTACAAAAAAATAAATAAAATAGCTTAATTGTGAAGCTAGCTCCATCCCGGTTGGCTAATTAATAGCAAGCAGCAGCAGCAGTATATTATATAACAGCCCACCACTTCCCCACTGTAATTTTGTCATCTCATAAGGCTTTCCCTTGCAGACATCGTTAGCCTTTGTCCTGTTGGGAAATGAACAGTACCATTGTTGTTATTACAGCAGGATCCAAACTAGGAATGGAACAAAATAATGACTGAAGCTCCTAGCCCATTGCCCATGTATAAATACTTCACACTTACTGCAAAACCAAAGGCAGACATTCCATTCTCTCCTATTAATCCTAGGCAGAAATCAAACAAACAAACAAACAAGCTGAGATGGTTCCTGAAAACATTCCTGAAGTGAAGCGCAGGTTTGGGTCTATGGAAGGTGATGTAGTTGTGGAGGCCAAGTTTCCTAAAAGGCGGCGTAGAGAGCCGAATTCTTCAGCAGCAGCATCGAGCTGCAGCAAGGAAGGTGCCAATCAAGCTACGTCGTCTACTGCTACTACGACGAGTACTACTACAACTGCTCCCATTGTGAAGAGAAGCTCCAGGTTCAGGGGAGTTAGCAGGTTTGTGTCAGGATTCTGAATTTTCTTGCTTCTTTAAGAGTTGCATTGGGCTTGGAATCCTGATCTGACAAAAGGGTAGGTAAGAATTCGTTCTAATCGATTCTGATACTACTACAGGCATAGATGGACTGGAAGATATGAAGCTCATTTGTGGGACAAGGGATCCTGGAACCCAACCCAGAAGAAGAAAGGGAAGCAAGGTTAGTTTCTGAGGAAGTTTGCTTCCTTTTTTGTGTGCCTCTTTTAGGTTTTCAGGAATGCTTGTTTTGGTTGATTAATAACTAATGATTGTATCCTCTTTTCATGTGGTTGCTTGACCGCTTTGGCGCGCAACAGTTTATCTTGGTGAGTAGCACTGATTCATCAATCTTTTGAACTGAAGGTTGATGAGATAGATATCCAATCCAAGTCTTCTTTTATGGAAGAAAGCTTAGATAAGCTAACCTACCTTTTTCATTTGTTTGTTTTCCTGACAGGTGCTTATGATGAAGAGGAATCTGCTGCTAGAGCTTATGATCTGGCTGCTCTCAAGTACTGGGGAATGTCAGCCTTCACAAATTTTCCTGTATGACTCCAGACATAAATTTCAAGGACTTTGGTATTGATTATTGAGGATTACACTCTGGTTCTAATGTCTCCAATGGTTCTGCTGCAGGTTTTGGAGTACGAAAGTGAACTTGAAATCATGAAGAATGTGACAAAAGAGGAGTACCTTGCTTCACTGAGAAGGTAAAAAGAACCAGAGTTTCTGTAAAGTCAATTATTGCCTTTGTCCTGAGTCCTGGCAGAACAAAGTTTTGATTTTTTTTTTTTTTTTTGTTTACCAGAAGAAGCAGTGGATTCTCAAGAGGTGTGTCTAAATACAGAGGAGTTGCAAGGTAAGAAAAAGGGCAGTTAAAAGAAAATCTTTTAGCTACCAGGATAGATAAATTCTGGAAAAGAAAATTTGGCTAAGGTGGCTGAATACCTTTGACAGGCACCATCACAATGGAAGATGGGAAGCAAGGATAGGGAGAGTGTTTGGGAACAAGTACTTGTACCTTGGGACCTACAGTAAGTCTCTTAAGATAAAACTGAATTCTTATTCTTGAAACAAGAACTATGAAACCTTCACAGAACTTAAAAGGAATTTGGTTCTTGTTGGGGTTTTTTTGCTTCCAGGTACCCAAGAGGAGGCAGCTAGAGCCTATGACATAGCAGCAATCGAATACCGTGGTATCAATGCTGTGACGAATTTCGATCTCAGCACATACATCAGGTGGCTGAAACCGGAATCCGATACCCCTTCTTCCATTGATGTTACACAAAACCATGACTCCAAACTGGATCTTGAAAGCTTCCCACTGACAACAGCAGCTGCTGCTGCTGCTTCTTGCCCTTCCATGGCCTACTTCCAAACTGACAAAACAGCAACAACAACAACAATGTCACCACAAAACCACCACCTCCCACTTCTACATTCCAGCCTTAGAATACTAGACAATCTGAACGAGAACCCACTGGAGCATGAACTCTTCCAGACGAGATCATCAGGCATGTTCTCCCCTCCAAGTGGCAACAAGAACACTTGTCTGTCGTCTTCGTCGTCATCTTCATCACTAGCATCATCGACCACTACTTCCCCATCGGCACTCGGCCTCCTGCTCAAGTCATCAGTGTTCAAACAACTTGTGGAGAAGAACTTGAACACTAGTAGCAGCATCAGTGGTGGTAGTAGTAGCAGTAATAACAACAATCATCAAGAGACTGAAGACCACCATGTGTCAACTGAGCTAAGGAACTTCCAGCTCTCCTCATTGGCTGGGACACACAAAGAGGAAGTGATTGATCAGGAGGCAGCAGAGATGTACTGCAATGGAATCAGCCAAGGCCAGAGCTCCTTCATGATGTACACATCAGGGAGTGGCAGTGGCAAGGAGGCGACCGGTTTGTCGAATTTGGAGTGGAAGGAGGAAGAGAGTTTGTTGCCATTGTTCAACTCATCAGCAGGAGGGCAGTCCTTCTGGGATGGATCACTAACCCTACCATCTCCTTTCCATTGAGTTATTTTTGTTGTTGTTTTGTTTTTGGTAGCCGTTTAATTACTGCCACTTTTTTCACTAACCATATTTGAGAAGCTCTTTTGCTGTCTGTACCTTTTACTGCTTTTGAAGTTGAGGAATTTAAAACAAAGTACCATCCATTTTGTGTATAATATGCACACTCTTGTGACTTGTATCAAGAAGCAACAATGAAGGTGATTTGATGTACATGTATATTGGAGTCGTGAGAGATGAAAAGGCTGGAAAAGCCAAGTTTTTGGCCATGTAACCTGACAGTCCGGTCATAAAACTGACCTACCTGTGTTCATTGTTATTTCTGCTTTCATTAAGAAAGGTTAAATGATTTTAACTACCTTACTTAGTGTTGTCATCAAATTGTTGTCTACCCAAATATATTAATCTAAAAATTCAGATTAGGTCTGGATGGATAGGTTCTATTATGTATTTTTTTTTCTTGCTTTTTTCAGAAAAATAGTAAAAGAAGATATGAGATGGACACCGTTTGTCTGCGGCTAGCAAACAATGTTTGACATTGCAAACTCCATTCAGATGAACAAAGGTATCATTGTTGATTTTAATTGAGAGATTTCAAGTTGGAATTTTACTTCCTCTTCTCCTTGCATATTTTGCTTTTGTCCTCCTCACTAGTAACTTGCTAGTAGGAATTTGGCAAATCACTTCCAAAAGTCCCTCCAATTAATATTTGAAAGCAATAATCTTTCAAACTTTTGTGTTTGTGTATTTGAGAATGAAACAAAGAATAAAAAGAAGAACGTTAGAAAGAAGTCTGGCAGGCGACAGCCATGAAACTTTTTATTGTGAAAAAATTATAGTTAACTCTGAAGGTTTGCATCGTTTCACAAAAATCAAATAATTAATTACTTATCCAAAATTAATCATCACAAAATAATTTCGAAAATTAAGAATTAATTATTAAGCAAAAAAAAATAATCAATTCTCTGTGCCAAGTGCTAAGTGTGTGGTGTGATTTAGTAGTTGGTTGAGATGTTAGCTCCTGGATTAAATTTTCATAAACCAAAAATAAAGCCACAAGTGAATGACCGACAAATTTTTGAAGAATGTGTTTAAGACTACACGATTGTAATCGTCTAAAATAATTTAAATATTTAATAGCCAATCCTAATACTATAGATAATTAAACAAATCTTAATAAAACAAACCTCACCCGGCCTGCAGTATTATATATACTAGATGGTTCATCACAACCCAACCATGTCTAAACCCGTACTCAAACAACATGCATGCAATCCGAAAATTATAACCCTACTCTGCTGTCAGAACCAGCCAGTTGTGCAACCTCTAGTCAATCAAGCCTTGACAGAATTAGCCCTGCAGACATTCAAACATCATTGTCAAAAATACTGCACTATTACGAAGACGAACGTTTCAATCGTCAACTGAGTTGCAACTTTTTTCTTACCTCGGTAGAACAAGACGACGTGGCGGGGACTGTGGCTCTTCTCCATTCACTTGGATGTCATCAGAAAGTATAGACAAATAGTCCAGCGCCTTAAGACCCTGGGTACGCAATGGAAACAAAACTGATCAGCCCAGGAGACTAGTGCCACAGAAAGAATGCAGGACCAACTTGCGATTTCATCCGTCTTTCACATTACGAACTTTCTGTTCTTGGGTGACAGCAGCATGTTGAATGAAGTATACCAAGCACAAATTGGAACAGACAGGCAGAATCTACGTATGCATTCCCAGGTTGACGTGGTATACTTCATTGAAACACTGCCCACTCTCTATAATATCCTTCACCAACCGAAACTGATAGAAAGAAGCAAGGGCCATGGTATAATTCACAACCCACAATGATTTGACAATTAACCTCATGAAAAGTATCGAAGTAGATCCCAGCTGCTTTAGGACTCACGGTAATACTGACAACCAAGTTTAATGCATTAACAACCATAGAAGGATCCAAAGTTTTGGACAATGCAAATTTCACCAAACCACATACTTCATTGAGATAACCATCTCGAATTATACCAGTACACGAACAAAATAAAGGCCAGAAATGTCAAAACCAACACAGACTAATATATCATTACCATGGAACCTGAATCACCAGGGAATGTAATTGCACGACTGCTCCCCGAAACAAACTTTACCTGCAACAAATTCATTGAAGAAATAGAAACACGACATATTTTAATGGCTAGTATCATATATTTTTCCCCTTCATGAAAGATTGCTCGATAATACTGATGGAAAATGGTTGACCTAAAACAAGGAGATGACTAGTACTGAAGTCACAAGGAAAATGCTGAAGTTGTAAAATAGACCATCCATCCTTCTTGATGATTACAGAGTGTTTCAAGAGCTAGACCTATTTGATGTGCATTTATTTTGACTTGGGTTCTAAGAATTGTGCTTAAATTGAAACAGAAGAGAGCTATACTACTATATGCATCGGCTAAAGCGATGCATTTGCTAACCTCCATTTCTTTGGGCATTATCACTTCCTTTCCCTTGACCAAGTTGCACAGGCAGTCAATGCCATAATTAGCTAGACTCTGTAAGAAAAAGAAGAAAAAAATCAGGCAGCCAGAATCAAAAGATGAAACACAAATGTGTGTGTGTGTGTGGGTGTCATAATTGATTCTTCGATACAAAAAAAAAAAAAAAAAGAACTCCACTGGAAGAGCCTTTTACGTATCCAAGGTTCAAGAATGCGCTAGGCGCTAGGCAGCCATTCGCTGCCTAGTGCCTAGCACGCCTAAATGGAGCATGGGCAAAGCAAAAATAGCAATTTTTTAGTTGAAATAACAATTTTATAACACCTTTTTAATTTAGTTCAATTTCAAATGATTAATAACATAGCTAACCCTCAACAACAAGCAAAACATTTCATTATTTCCTAGATTTACGATGGTAAAGAGTAGGACAGAAGGTTGGGTCGACAGGAGCTGGAGAAAACTGAAGAAGTCATTTCGAAAAGATCAGCTACATTTTTTCTTAATTCTTTGTATGTCAATGTGTTAAGAGCATCTCACTTCGACTAATCACGCTTCATGCTAATTAATCATGCCTAGCTTTATATAATAGCCGCATAGGCGTTATGAATGCCAGATTGTCTGCCTAGAGCCTAGACGAGGCGTTTTGTCACTGCCTAGCGCATTGGAATTATGCCTTGTTGAACCTTGTATGTATCTATGAGCTTATAAAAAACATACCTGCTTGTACTCCAATGAATCCAGCTTCTTATCCTGCAAAATAAAGGAAGTGATGTCTGAATCATGAAACAACCATCACAGAAGAAGGAACCAGAAACGAAGCAAATGACAAAAGCACCCGCGCAACAGCACAATTAGAAAGGAAAACCTACCAACCCACTGACAAAACTTATCAACTGCCCCACTTCAGAATCAAGCATCTGAATATTATCATGGATAGTATTAACCTGCATCACATAGTTAATAGTATTAGGAAAAAATGACTCCTCTTAGCACTCCATACAGGTCTTGAATGCGTATTTCGACAAAGGAAAATATGTAACATGACCGGCGAACCCATGACTCGGAACCATGTTTTGGATTATTTTTTTCCATTTAACAATGTGCACCTGCCAGAATAACCAATACTATGACAACCTGACCCTTCTGCATTTCACACCATTCATGAGCAACAATGTGCACATAGGCGGCAACAAGTGAGGGAGATGGTGATTAGTTTAATATCTTTTGCAAAAAGGAATCTCCGAAACTTGATTCTATACCATTTCTCAGACACTACTATTCTTAGCTGAACAATCAAAAACTTATATCTCATTCCAATAAATAAGCAGAGCAAATCATTTTCACATATCGGCTTAACAATAAAAATAACAGCACATCAAACTTGCACCATAAACTCCAAACAACATACAGAATTACGCATCACATAGTTGTAGTGTCCTGCAGGTAATCCCTTTATTTTTTCTTTTTTCTTTCTATTTTTGGGTGGGGGAGATAGGTAAAGGTAAATCCATTTAATCCAAGAACAATGGTAATGAAAAATTGTGGAAGAAAATTCACTTACGTCACTTTCAATTTTCCGAGAGATCTCGTTCTGCACATCCATCTTATCATCCAAACCCTGAATGCGCTGTGTTAAGTGTTCCTTTGCTTTCTGGGCGACAAGAAAACGCAAATCACTATTAGATGCTATACAGGTAAGCAATAGTGGGTTCATTACAGGATAGCAACAGACTCCTAACTTCCTCAAGTCATGGAGCTAAGGCTTCTGCAGTTTGTCTAGCCTAAGCAGAAACTTCGCAGCAAGCTCAATTAAAACAATTCATCAAATGATAAACTGAGTAACTAACTACCTAACTAACCGAATACTAATTTACTATATTGAGTGTCAGAGGAATAAAACAAACAAGAAGCCCATCACATGAGACAACTTACAGCCAGAGCATCAGTCACGCCCTCCAGATGCTTTGTCAAATTCGAAACAGCAGCTGTCATACTCTGCTTTGTCACGTACATAAGATCAGAAATTTTCCAACCCTAAGAGCAAGAGGAAACTTTAGTATAATTTCAAAGTACTACATCCCAGAGAAACAATAAGAAGACTACTCTACTGTCAGAGCAGTCTACAGCAATTTCACTTACCTTCCACCATATATAACCATAACCCACAGCTCCAACTGTAGCTGCTGGAATTATAAGACCAGTATAATTACCTGCAATAACCACAAGGAAAATAAAAACCCCAGCTGACCTAGTTCATAACTAAGCAGGTTTTGATTCATCAGATGTATATACACGCCAAGGTGTACGAATTTCCGCAACCTCCTCGGATAGTGCTAAATAAACTAGACACGATACCTGATTGACCATTATTCAGAACCGTAATGTGCCGGAAGGAACCGAGTTGTCGAACTTGTTGGGCCAGTAGACCCACCTTCCAGTGTTTCCAAGAGAAAAGGAGGAGAACAAGTCAAACACTGCACGTTATTTAACTCAGGACAGAGACCCAAGAACCGATTTTACTCCCAAACCAAAGCGTGAACCCTTCTTTTACCTGATGCGTGAGCACATCCGTCTCGCCATCCGAATCACCTTTCTCAATTCCCTTCACTAAAGCCTGCCACAAACATAAACGTAGCACTGTCAATTCTCTAACAAAAAATCACCCAACAGAAAGCCAAACAAGGAAAAATCCACCAACCCCATTGCCCTAAATGTCTCGCATGCAGAACTATCAACAGTTTAAAGATCATCGATACTAGGTCCAGCAAAATCTACTACCTAAAATTTGCGAAACTGAGCCAAAACACCACGTCACTTCGAAGATTACCTGAATTTCACCGATCAACTCAGACAATTTGCCTTTCTGAATCAACACAGTACCTAAATAACCTGTAACCGAGACCAACTAAGTCAAATAAGAATCAAGGGAACAGAGACGGATGCCGTAGCGATAGTAGAAACATTAAAACAACGCCCAAAAATGGTGATCCAGCGGCGGCAAAAAGCCCAAAACTACCTGCTCCGGCGATTAGCAGGACCCGAGAACCCAGAGCAGCTTGCATAGCCATGATTGCGAGCTGAGATAATCGCACGAACTCGGAAACCTAAACTGGGATTGAGGGGAAAAATAAATTTACGTGCTGGCGAAGTCAAAGAGGTTGAAAAAATTTCAAATATATAATTTTAATTAATTAATAATGCCGTAATTCAGTCGGTAAAAAAAAAACTAACTGACCAGTCGTCCAGTCTCCCGCTGGGCCAACTCATGGGCCTGTTTAACCGACTCTGGTCTCCGCATGCAGATTGTGTGAAACTCGGGCCCAAATTGGCCCATTTAAGAAAAGCCGTAGTGCGGCACGGCACCGCAAGGACGAATATGCCCCAGCTGGAATAGCATCTGGCAATCTGCCCCGTGTACTTGCCCGGCTGCCCAAAATTCTTGATAGCCACGACAAACTCACACCTTCCCTTCCCCCGATAAATAATCCAACGGCGCAAAAGACGAATGTGCGAAGCAAGCAAGATCCGACGGCCCAGATCGCACCCCAGGGAAGAGGCTCCTGCAACAGACAAAATAGGGTTGTCCTTCGGTTCGTAAATTTTTATAGCTCAGAAAATACTCTCTCTCTAGAATACTCCACGCCGAGCTTCTCTTCCCCGTTCCCTTTCCTCGCGCTCTCTCTCGAAGTTCTTGCTTTCCATTCTCTCGGGGAAATCATGGGGAAAGGTCCGGGACTCTACACCGATATCGGCAAGAAAGCCAGAGGTAGGATTCCGATCGAATTCCTCCTCTCGTTGAAACTTCTCCGATTTCGTTCTGGTCCGATCAGCGGTTTACCTTTGTGGTTACGAAGTGCTAATCGACGGTGTTATTTTTGTTCTTCGTTTTTGGCAGATCTTCTTTACAGGGATTACCAGTCGGACCACAAGTTCACCCTCACTACCTACACCGCCAATGGAGTCGTACGTTCCTCGTCCTCGAATCGATTTCGTTTTTAGGTTTTCTTCTGGTTTTGGTTTTATGGCGTGGAAACAGTGTCTGGTGTTAGTCGGTTGGCACTCTGATTGTGAAGAATGATTAGTTTAGTTCCTCCGAATTTCAGTTGCGTGTGTGTAGCAGTTCATCTTAGGGTTCAGGGCTCTTTTGCTTCCTCAATTATAGTATAAGGATGAAAAGGTCGATCAGTCTACTGTGGGTGCTGTTAGTTTCTGGTACTTTGCTGATGATTGTGGTAACTTTTTGCTGCCCATTACAGGCAATCACCTCGAATGGTGTCAAGAAAGGTGAGCTGATCTTGGCGGATGTGAGCACTCAGCTGAAGAACAAGAACGTCACCACGGACGTGAAGGTGGACACGAGTTCTAATGTAAGTCAGGAAAGGGGCTGCAATGTAATTGGGATTTGCGCGTGGTAGCATTTCCCTTTTCGAATTCATCTTACCATTTTAGGCGTTTTCAGCTATCGGAATGTAGTAGTGGCTTCTGAGATCATATGTGGGCATGGTCACTGTGTTATGTTGTCTTGCTCCACTCTTGTTAAATTTGCTGTCCTAGACCTGGCTATGTTACTGGAAATTGGGTTTGGTTACGGATGCTGGTATATGTTTCTTATGCATGTTCATTGTCTTACACCATGCTTTGCTCCAATCTGCTTGAGTTTTTCTCATGGGTATGTTTCTCATGCGAATGACCTGGTTATGTTTCGGGGTTGGTTCCCGATGGCTATGTGGTTCCCGATGTTTCCATGATTGTACATTGAAATACTCTTTCTGTTCAATTGATAAGTTGAACTGTTCTTTCTTCTTTGTAGCTGTTCACCACCGTCACTATTGATGAACCCGCTCCTGGATTGAAGACAATCTTTAGCTTCAAGGTCCCTGATCAGAGATCTGGCAAGGTAAACCCTCTTTAGTCCTTGAGGGCAAGTGGTCTCCTCTAATTGTCATCCTTCTGCAAATTACTGCCTATTGGAGAGTAAATGTTCTGTCTTTTCATTTGATTGGTTTGTTGTTGGAAAAGATCAATTGGCTAATGTATGAGGAAGCTTTGCTTAAGGCCTCATTTATATTGGTTGACTTCATTATGGTATACCTAATTGATTCAATAGCTTAGTCATTTTCTTTTGGTTGACATCAGGTGGAACTCCAGTACCAACATGAGTACACTGGGATTAGCACTAGCATTGGTATGACTGCAAGTCCACTTGTTAACTTCTCTGGTGTAGTCGGTAACAATATGGTAGCTCTTGGTACCGACCTCTGCTTTGACACTGCCTCTGGGAACTTCACCAAATTGAATGCTGGTTTGAGCTACACCAATGCAGACCTGGTTGCTGCTGTTACCTTGTGAGCCCCTATGCCTTCTAGTTTTCATGGTGGTTGGTTTCATTATCTGATGTTGAGCACTTAGTATATTGTGTAAAAGATTGCCTGTAGTTCAGTTTCATTTTAAGAAACTGTTTCTGCTTGAGTTTCGAATGTGGATTATTTGTGGGGTTCATGTTCAATGAATTAGTGGACTTTTGTGAATGGTTGCAGGAATGACAAGGGAGATACACTTACGGCCTCCTATTACCACACCGTGAGTCCACTGACCAGCACAGCTGTTGGTGCGGAGCTGACCCACAGTTTCTCCAGCAACGAGAACACTCTGACGGTAGGCACTCAGCATGCCCTCGACCCCTTGACCACTGTGAAGGGCAGAGTGAACAACTACGGGAAAGCGAGTGCACTGATCCAGCACGCTTGGCGCCCGAAGTCCCTCTTCACCATATCAGGGGAAGTGGACACGAGGGCAATTGAGAAGAGTGCAAAGATTGGGCTGGCAGTTGCCCTGAAGCCATGAAAGATGCAATTGTGGTGAGCAACTTTTTGTCTTGGTGGTGGCGTTCCGTTGTTAGGGTTGAGAGGAGCAATAACTTGGAAAGAGAATGAAGAGAGATTTATATCCCTTTTCCCAAATGGACATAGAACTGATCGTGTTTATTTGTGCTGGGTTTTTTCCCCCTTTCACACATTTTGGCGGATATTGGCACTGTAGAAAATAATCTTTTAGTTGGTGTCAGTAAGCAATCCTCTGTTCCATTCATCTGTTCCACTTGTTCTTTTAGTTACATTCCTATGGCTGTGCAATGCGTTTCATTTCTATCTAATAGCCGGCTTATGCTTGCGTGAGATGAGAATTTATAGTTGGGACTGGGAGAACATGGCACCAAGGATTGGGTTGTACTATCTGCTTCGACCTAATGACGAGATCTGCAACGTTGTCTATTGTATGGCATGCACGTTTTGGCCTCACTAGTTTGTAAGGTTTTTTGGATTGTACATTTTATCCTTCGGATCCTTCGCACTGTGTTTCATGTTTGAGGGAAAAATAGACTCAGAATCCTTTTCCTAGTACTAGTAGCACAATAAAGACTATAAATTATTTTAATTTGCTTCATGTGGATATTTGGGGGCGTATCACACTCCATCTTTGGATGATCTTGTTATTTTGTTTTACGGGTTAATTGCATGGGTTAATTGCATGGTTGGTCACTGAGATTATAAAAAACGTTCAAGTTTGGTCACTCAAAATATTTAAATCCTTTGGTGGTACTTCAGTTTACTGAAACGGTTCACGTTTGGTCACTCTCCGTCCAGTTCCGTTAATTTTTGCTGATGTGGCAGTCAACTCTCAAAATTGACCGTTAACTTAGTGACGTGGCAACTAAAAAATTATTAAAAATAAAAAAATAATTTTTATATTTTGCACTTCATTATTACATTCATTAAAAAAAACCTAATTTCAATCCAAATCTCCTAGTAGTCTATACTAGAACCCATAGATATAAATGACGGAATTGGTAACTGGTAAGCAAACAAAACTAAAAATTGGATAGAGATGATCATGGCGCCATTCGAGTTCAATTCCACTACCCATTTCGTCGCTTCATCGGAATCTACCACGATCGACGTCTACGAGTTGACTCCGTCAACAACTTCCCCGTCTTCAGCTGTCAGAACCACCGACTGGAAAATCATCGCGACCATCGGCGGATACAGGGGGGGCCACACTGGGCCCGGGCCCAGCCCTCCCTGCCCCCCCCCCCCAAGACCCAACCCAGCACACTTTTAATCAAAAATTAATTGGGCCCAGCCCCAGTCTCAGTCCCAAGACCCAGCCCAGCCGGCCAGCCAAAGCCCCAAACACCCAAACTATTGAACTAATAATCTCCCGCCCCCAAACTAATAATCTGAAGTCTGAAAAAAAAGAGAAGACAAACAGTCGGAACAGAGCTGCAGCTGCTCGCTGGCGCTCCCCACCGCGCCGAACAGACGGAGATCCCCTCGACCCCTCCCCTGGCCAGCTGGCCTTCGTTCTTCCTTCTTTCTCTGCAGACCGCAGCCGCGCAGCGGCTATAATCATTAATCAAGTTCTCTTGATCCCTTCACAGTGACAGTAGTGATTAGATGACAATTCCCTTGATGGCTTGATCCCTTCACAGTAGTGATTACTGATTAGACGACAAGGACAACAGCAAGTCAGCAACAGGTAATTGCAATTTGCCAATTGATTTTACTGCTTTAGTTTACTTAATCTTATTTACTTAGAATCTAGTGTTTGACTGCGGTATGTATATGTTTAATTGATTATGCAGATTTCAGTATATTTCATCATGACATCTTCTCAACCACCAAATAAAAAGGCGAAAACAACATTGTTTTCTTACTATCAACGTAAGGAATCTGAAACGTGTCAGACCGAAGAAGTCCCTCCTAATGAAGGTCAACCATCTTCCTCTCCAGTTCAGAATGAATCATCTACTTCTCCTGTATCCGGTAATCTACTTCCATCATCTGATAGTGGAGTTGAAATTGAAAGAGATCCAGGAAAGAGGAAACAAATATGTGATTGGGCTCTTGAGTTGAGAGATGAGGTTAGGAGAAAATACCTAATACACAAGGCTTATCAACCTAAACTCGCATACTATAAGCCGCGAGAATATCCAGATAAAATTCGTCACTTTCAAGAAGCATGGTATTCACAATTTGATTGGTTGGAGTATTCTCCTACAACACATAAAGCATATTGTTTCCCATGTTTTTTGTTTAGAGACAAGATGAATGGGAATCAAACTTCTGCACTAGTCAAAGATGGATTTGATAATTGGAAGAGGGTTAATGGTAAGAAATGTGTGTTCCTTGTTCATGTTGGTTCATCAGCTTGTTCAAGCCATAATAAATGTGTTACAGCGGCTGATGCCTTGATGAAACCCTCCGGTCATATTGATAAAGTGATGCACAGAATTGGTGGAGAAGAAGTTCTTAAGCATCGATTGCGGTTGAAAACAACAATTATGGTTGTCAAACAGTTGGCTTTACAAGGAAGTTCTTTTAGAGGGCATGATGAATCTGATGATTCTTTGAATCCGGGGAAAGTTCTAGCTTGGATTGGTTTTGCAGCGAAGTTGAATGATCAAATCAATTGTGTAGTTCTTCGTAACGCACCAGGAAATGCGAAATACACTTCACCAAGCATTCAGAAGGAGATATTGGGAATCATAGCAAATAGAGTGCGTTGTAAGATACGCGAGGAGATTGGAGATTCTTGTTTCTCTATTCTTGTTGATGAAGCAGTTGATGAAGCAGGAAGGGAACAGATGTCTATTATTTTGAGGTATGTCAGTTCTTCTGGTATAGTAACTGAACGCTTTTTCGCTCTCAAGAGTGTAGCTGATACTTCTGCAGAAACACTAAAACAAGCTATTTGTGACGTTCTCTCTCAGTATGACCTTCAAATTGAAAAATTGAGAGGTCGAGGATATGATGGTGCTAGTAATATGTCAGGACAGTTTAATGGAGTCAAGGCATTATTTCTTAGAGATTGCCCATATGCCTATTTTGTCCACTGTTTTGCTCACAGATTACAGTTGGCATTGGTTACTTCTGCAAAGGTATGTGATCCTATATGGGATTTCTTTTCCATATTGGATTGTATCATAAACGTTGTGAAGGCTTCTCCTAAACGGATCAGGGAGTTGCAAGCAATTCACAAAAAAGATCTTGATGGTATGTTGGATGTTGGAGAAATTCAATCTGGACAATGAGCTAATCAAATGACATCCTTAAAGCGTTCGGGGCCAACTCGTTGGGGATCTCATTATCATTCCATATTGAGCATTATGAACATGTTCAATGCAACATGTGTAGTGCTAGAGGATCTTTGCCGTTCTAAAGAAGGAGAACAACGAGCTCAAGCCAGAGGTGCTTCAAAAAATATCAAGACTTTTGAGTTTGTGTTCAATCTTCACTTCATGAAAGGGATTATGGATATCACGGATTTTCTTTGTCAAGCATTTCAACAAGAATCTGTTGACATTGTAGCTGCAGTTGGATTTGTTTCCATGGCAAAAGTTAAATTTCAAAAGCTACGGGATGAAGGATGAGACAAGCTACTCCAAGAGGTAAAATCTTTTTGCTCAAAACATGCCATAAAGGTACCTAATATGAATGCTACACTTGGACGTGGTGAGAAGCAAACAACTCTTGAGCACCGCTACCTTTTTGAATACTTTAATCAATGCATAGATTTTCAGTTGGGAACATTGAATTCAAGATTCAATGAGTCATCAGTCAGATTGCTGCAGTTGAGTGGTGCACTAGACCCTAAAAGTTCTTTCCGGTCTTTTGATGAAGAAAATATTTACAGACTTGCTGAAGAGTTTTATCCTCGAGACTTTGAAGGCAATGAGATGAATTGTTTGAAGAATGAGCTAGGATATTATGCCGATCATGTGGTTCATAGTCAGGAATATGATGTTTGTTCCCTTGCAAAATTACTAGAGAAGCTGGTGGAAACAGGGATGGAAGCACGGTATAGATTGATTTGTCGGTTGATTCGTCTAGTGTTGACATTGCCTGTTTCAACGGCTACTACAGAGAGATCCTTTTCAGCAATGAAACATGTGAAGACTGATTTGCGCAACAAGATGGGCGATGAATTTCTTGCCGATTGCTTGACTATTTTCTTTGAGAGAGAGTATGTTATTGGTATGGATGAAGACTCAATTATTGACGAATTTGCTAAATTAAAAGACCGTCGTGTACAATTGACATTGTAATGCAAACTATAACTTTTTTTTGTTTACGGTATCTAATTTTATGTTCGAATCCGGCCTAGTGCACTTCTATATCCTGGATCCGCCGCTGATCGCGACCGTCGCAGCCACTAGTCACTACCAGCAGGAGAATCAATACGACGCCCTGAAGTTGTTCGAAGAGGAGATCACGCGGCGGGACCTGAGCAATCTGGCAGAGGACCTTTCGCAGTCCCATTTCTACGTCAACCCACTTGGCAATTGCTTCATAGACGTCTCCGCCGGCGACGGCGAGTTCGTCGATCCGGCGTTTGGGGTACAGTTCTTGAGATTAAACGACACCTTCAACTGGTCTCAATACGGCGCCGTTAACCCTCCTCCGCCGTCCACAGTCGACAATCTGTGGGACACCCGCCACGGGTTCCCCCATCGCAGCGGCGAGAAGAGCAAGGCGATCGTCGATTACAAGAAGCAATTGAACGAGAAGGACGAGAAATTGGGGAAATTGAAGACTCAATTGAGATTGAATACCCTAGATCTAGAATCGGCGAAGAGGGATATGGAGAAGTACTCCAAGTGGTGCTACGATTTCACGTACAGGTACCGCGACACAATCTCGGCATCCGAGGCTGCGGCGAAGATTCGGCAGCGGAGGGTGAAGGTAGCGAGGTCGACATTCATGGCCCTATCGCCGCCGGCGGTGCCGATTAGTCCCGTGCGTTTTCTGGGTGTCGTCGTTTAAAGAGGAGGCGATCGATGCGTTCTAACTGTTGGACGAGGACGAAAAATATAATAATGAGGTGGAAAATTTTAAGGTTAATTTTTTTATTTTTAATGATTTTTTAGTAGCCACGTCACTAAGTTAACGGTCAACTTTGAGAGTTGACTGCCACATCAGCAAAAGTTAACGGAGTTGGATGGAGAGTGACCAAACGTGAACCGTTTCAGTAAACTGAAGTACCACCAATGGATTTAAATATTTTGAGTGACCAAACTTGAACGTTTTGTGTAATCTCAGTGACCAACCATGCAATTAACCCTTTTGTTTACTATTATAGATAATTACAATCGTTCTACATGGGTTTACTTGATGAGGTTTGAGTCTGACGTCGAATGTTATCTCAATATGCACTATCAGTTGACTCGCACACAATTTGAAAAGGAGGTTCATCGTATTGATGAGGATAACAACCTTGAATTCCAAACCACCTTGTTTCGAGCATATTATCAGGAACACGATATGGTCCTTCAAACCTCATGCATAGGCATGCCCCAGCAAAACAACATAGTTGAACAGAAGCACCGCCATTTGTTAGAGATGGCTCATGCTCTTATGTTTCGCGCAGGGCTCCTAATTCACTTCTTGAGGGGAGTGTGTTCTCACCGCTACGTACTTGACCAATCGTTTACCACGATTGTGCTCTCGAGAAGACACCTTTCGAGGTTTTGTTGAGACGTGTGCCTACTCACTCCCATCTTTGCAGTTTCGGGTGTCTTGCCTATGCCAAAGACACTCGCCGCGGTCTTGACAAGTTCTTCGACAGGGAGAGAGCGGCAGTTTCATTGGATATCTCGGAACCCATAAGAGGTATCGGATATATGATTCAGTGGATACCTCACCTCTTACCTCTCCCGATATCGATCCTTCCTCCGCACAGGGTGATACTGTTGTTGACACTCTAGACCCACTTCCCACACTAGAGCACGAGAAAACACAGCTGCTTGCCGCAACGTAACAATGTTCGTTTTCTTCCCAATACCACTTCCCATAATGTTCGTTTTCCAGTTTCTAACTATGTTCAGTATCATCGCTTTTCTAACCGCCATACTTCCTTTCTTGTTCTCATGGATCAATTGTTCGAGCCCCGAACTTATGCTCAAGCCCCAAGTACGAACAATGGCGAGCTGTCGGGCATCGAGAAATTGCAGCACTAGAGGCGCACGACACTTGGGAGTTTGGAGTTCTTACTGTCTGGGAAACGGGCTATTGATTCCAAACGGGTTATAAGGAGTTACTCAACTCTGCCTTTACTTTCACAACAATAGCAATATGTACATCCACCTCCCTTTATTTCCTCTCATTCTATTGAATTCTTTTACATGTTCTCCATTTTTTTTTTCTTGTATAAATATGTACCAAAACTCATAATACAAGTCAAGTCATTCTATTCCAACAATCTCCTTCATTCTATATCATAGGTGACTCGCCAATACCGTCACACTAGAAAGTGGTCAAGTGTAACCACAAACTAATGCGTAGTATAGTGGGTTTAGTTTTATTTGCTTGCATCATCAACAAGCACTACCTAGCGTAAAACGGGTCAAAAAACAATCAAAAGCTAAGCCAAACGGTCGAGAAATGTCGGGAAAACATGTGTAAATACGGTGTCATCAATAGGCTTCTTTGATTATCCATCAAGCCAACGAAAGAGATCTTGGCCTTCAAAAAATACTCGAGATTGAAAATCTCATAATGCAAAGTTCTTGCATTTGAGACATGTAGCTATATGTTCAGATTCCATAGCAGAAAGCTCTAGTACCATGATAATCAAAATGTGGCAATAATCTAAATTCGAATGGGAATGAAACGGAACATGCTTAATGAGATTTTCATATTCCGTGTGAACAAGACTATTATACGGACAAAACTAGCAACTCTCTATTCAACTTATCTTCCATCAATGTTCTTTACGTATATTCCGTGTGAACAAGACTATTACACGGACAAAACTAGAAACTCTCTATTCAACTTAGCTTCCATCAATGTTCTTTTACGTATATATATGTACAACTCGATGCTCTCCTAGCAACCCCAGGTGAGGTGGAGACAGAATCATAGACACACTCTACTAAATATGTCAATGGAGGCAGGTATCCCTATCTCATCCTCATTTCCATTTGCAAATACACATACCTCATATCGGCTTTTGGATATCCAATACTTCTCCCGTATATCCAATATTACTATACCTAGAATTAGACTTATAGTTATAACACTAAATCAACATAATAAGTCTGAAATCAACAAAGCTACAACCATTCTTAATACGAGTTTAAAGCAACAAATCCTAAAACATCTCTTAATCCTTAAAAAGTACAATACTATCTAAATCATTCCTCTCCGACGCCGACACATATACTAAGCAATGAATAACTAATATAATCTTTTGAACAAGGGAAAAGAAGTTAAAGAGTGAAGGGTGAATAGAGGGAAAGAAATTAGTGTTTGGTTTGAGTTGCTACTCACTTACATTCAACTCTTTATTTTTGGAATAATTATTTCTAACATTTAGAGATTCAAGTATGGACCTTATATTTTTATATGCGAATAAATCCTCTTTGTGGGATGTGTATGGGTGTAGAGCATAAAAGCCTAAAATCGTAAGCGATCCATCTCTATCAAATTTTTTGTGGATTTTACTCATATTAGCTCCATAATCTAAGACGAGTGAAATTACGGGTGGGCATTCGGTCGGTTCGGTTTGAACCGAACCGAACAGATGATTACCGATGTTCCGATCCCAGGTGAAAGGCAAACCGAAATCGAACCGAAATATAAGTCGGTTTGGTCCGGTTTAATGGCAAAACCGAAACTATGAAACCAACCCACCATATCCCCTAAAAAATCTCCGCCCCAGCAATCGCAAATCCTTCCCCTCCTCTCACATCTTATCACCCCCACAAAGTCTCCGCCCAGATTTATCATTCCCTTCCCCTCCTCTCCTCTCCTCTCTCTCTCTCTCTCTCTCTCTCTCTCTCTCTCTCTCTCTCTCTCCTAATTCAACAACAATGACGACCGATCGAGAGAACAAGGCGGCGACAAAAGCAACAACGATTGATGTCGTGATGTTGATGAAGATTCTGAGCGATTGAACAAACACGGCGACAGCGGCAGCGGCGACAAAGAATCAGGTAGCATCGTCTGCATGTAGTGTTCGGCGGCACGATTGAAGAGGTGGAGATCTCTCTGTCTCTGGTCTCGAAGTGAAGAAAGGAAGAAAGGGGATGGTGACGAGGAGGAGGGTGGTGGACGGAGGGGAGGAGCGTTTGGTGGTGTTGGAGAAGAGGATGGTGGGCGGCGACGCGAAGGAGCGGCGTCGGCGGGATCTGGAGTGGCGAGATCGGGAGCGGCGGCGCGAAGTGGGAGCGGCCACGGGATCGGCAGCGTGCTAGAGGGCTGAGATGGGAGAGCGATTCTCCACTGCCTCTCTTTTTTAGTCTATTAGGGTTAGTTGGGTGAGAGATTTGGGCTGAAGAGTTTGGTGAGAGATATGGCCGAGGCCCAATGATAGTTGGGGTGAGGTATGAGGGGAATATGTGGGCTGGATGTATTAATTCGGTTTTTCGGTTCGATGTTTGGAATTCGGGTTCGGTCGAGAGGACCCTGGGTTCCGAAATGTGGCTATTTTGCTTCCGATTTCCAAACCAAATAGTAACAATTCGGTTTCGATTCGGTTTTACTTCGGTTCGGTCTGGTTCGGTTCGGATTTACCGAACCGGATGCCCACCCCTAAGTGAAACTCATAAATGCATGGGGTCATATGCCACAATATAAATACACACTACACATAAATATAAACTATAATGTTATAACTCAACAACCTCCCCAAAGAGAGTGGCACATCATCAACTTTCCATCAAGAAAGATATGATCAGCCGTAATAACTAGGAATGGCAATGGGCTGGTCAGGGCGGGTATCTCGATACGTATACCCGCCCCGTAACAAGTCGGGTAATTCATCACAGGTTGCGGGTCGGGGCAGGTCAATGCAATGAGTATTTAGTTTAGAAGAAAACCATGAGTAAATATTCAATTTTTTCATTAAACCCCCCAGTAAAATATGATAAAGGTAGTTAAATTATTTAAAAATTGAAGTTCTCACATGTTTAATACTCTATTGTAGCATAAATATGCAGTAATAAAAGTAAAATTATAAGTAATTGTAATAAAATTACATGTAATTTAGGCAAAAACGGTCGAGAATGGGGCGGGCCAGGGCAGGTCAGGTCGAGGGAGACCCGCCCCAAAACAGGCCAAACAGGTTGGGTAAAACGGGCCAGGTCAAAATTGACATCCCTAGTAATAACGGGTTGGGTGGAAACATTATGCAATTTGATCCTTTAGTGCAATGTAAAAGAGGCGAATCGTGTCATCATAGGAATATATGAACTTAAACCTCAATATATTTGGTTCGATCACGAAGAACCGAATTAATAACAATGCGAATATCCCCCGGTAGACGATGAAGCCACCCAGGTTTAGAGGTAAGTGCCCGATTTGTTAGCGGCCCGAAACTTAAGTGATTAACACTGGATTTGCGTCAGGTTTTCAAAGCCATCGGAATTGTCAGAGTTAGTTCTTGCCTTAGCTTGTGCTATGTAGAGGTGGCAAATGGATTGGATTCATGGGTTGGTGGATTAGATTGGTGGATCCATTGATCAAATGGATTGGATCTAATGGGTTGGTGGATTCATGGATTGGATCAAATGGATTGGTGGATTGATCCATGAATCCAAATGACATCCAAAGCTTGGACCAAAATGTAAATTTTGAAATGTTTATGTACTAAAATGTCATAATAAAAAAAATTAGGTACCAAATTGTAATTTTCCAATGATATTTTCATATAAAAATATAAATTTTAGGTACCAAAATGTAAAATATAATAAATATAGGTATCAAATCGTAATTTTCCATTTGGATTCATGGATTGATCCACTTATCCACCAATCCAATTGGATTTGGATCAAATGGATCAGATTTAAATGGATTGGATTAGGTGGATAATTTGGTGGATGGATTGAATTGAATTCATGAATTTGGATCCTAATTGCCACTAGCTATGAGCTTAGATAGAGTCTCATCGCAGCCTGGCAAATATACACATCCCTAAAGGAAAAGGACCTTAATCTCTCCGTATACATCTGGATTCACCCTGTCCTGTGATGTGAGAGAGGAACATGACTGTTGTCCATATAAGTAGCACCAAAACCATCATATTGCAACGATGTTCTGGATTCTTTTTACTGTAAGAACCAGCTTGTAATCGCCGATGCCATGTTATTAATTGACCAGAGGACAGAAATCGAAATGCATATACCCGAAAACGAGAATACAAAATAGGAAGCAGACATACAGTAGACACTGAAATCGCTATCAAAATTCATTAGTCTCGTAGTTCTTTTTTGAGCAAAACTTGGTAGGATGCTCTGCGCTACTCATTTCAGAAGGGGGTATCCAATTAGCCAATTAGTACAATCACACAATTGAATCATCTACAGTATGAACTTCGCCGCTGTTTTTTTTTTTTTTTTTTTCTTTTTACTTCCCCTGTAACGTCGTATACGAGAAAGAAAATCTCTTCCTGGAAACGCCTGATTTATGATACACAACCAACCAACCAAAATAACATAGATCTTCCTGTGCAGTGGAGATGGATGAAGAAATCTGAAGTTGTTGCCATCTCTCTCTCTCACTATCCCTCCCTCCCTCTGTCCCTTGCTTTGTGTCGCTCTACGGAAAGCCCAAGCAACGGTCCATGTTCCTTCGAAAGGGAAGGATCAAGTTTGGGACAAGCATATATTACACACTGAACCAAAATGCCTAAACAATGCCAGTAGAAATACTGGACGTAGCATTGATCTTGAGGGAGTACTCAGGAATGTATGTTAGACCTGTTTCAAAGAAGCGAAGTTGGAAGGAACGCGTTAATCAACAGAAGTTCAACCATTCAGCTCCAAGTTGGAGGACAAGTTGCACGTAGGAAGAACCTCAGAGACTGAGAAGTTCCTCATAAAGGAAACATTAAACTCCTCAACTAACATCCATTAAAAAATTCCCATCGGGGCTCGATGCACTCATGAAATCAACCTAGTTGGTCAGGAAAGAACATATTATGACAAAAAACACAGTAAGCAGCGCTGTTCGCTTGGTTCAAGTTGACAAGAGTAGTAGTGATAGAAGACCCACGGAGAAGCCATACCAACAGAAAGATAATACCCTGTGCCAGAAATATCGGGTAGGACCTAAGGAAATGGGGCAAGGAGATTTTTAACTCATTGATGCAAACAATCTAGAAATTGCACAGGCAGATTTTATCAGGCTGATGGAACAAAAGAGAATGAAAGCATTGCAATGACACCTTTTTGGTGAATATCAAGAACAAAGATGCAGATGCTAGAATCTCATTACCTTTTTCCTTGACATCTATTTGTAAGGTATCGAGTGTGATTATACCATCGGTCAGGGGAAGTAGCTCAAGCTTGATTGTGGCTGTTGAATTTGCAGGGACGCACCTGATTACAGACGAGATTAAGATAAGTTGACTCTTGTCAGAATCTTAGAAATGAAAAAATAATGTGAAAGAAAACTGATTTTTGTTACCCTAATGGAACTCTACTCTGCAGCCAGAGATGAGTGCAACCGAAACCAGTACTTGAAATGACATCAGGTATGGCCGAAGACTGGGAACCAGATAGCTCTCCTCCCTCATTCAGCTGCTCTAGCGCAGGAGGTGCAGAAGCCACCCTGCTGTGCGTTTTGCTCCCAACCTTATTACCATGTTTTCTCATAGAACCAACTGCTGCACCCATGGGAGTTGATGGTAAATTCAACGACCCAACTGAAGGAGGAGCAGTGAACGAGGCTGGAGCAAGAACTGTTAGAGTTAGATCTTCTGCTGTCAAATTGGAGGCTCTGAGGGTTAGGACCTGAAAGATTTTTGGACCAGCAAACAGGAATTCATACCACGAAGAGAAACAGAGGCATTTATAGCTCAAGGAAACACTGAATAATAAAGACGGAGAGAAGGAAATACCTGAACCGGAAGATGGGAAACTCTGTCATTGGTAGAAGACCGGTGTGACAGTTCAGGTGCAACAGAGATCAAAAGATCCCTAGAGATACGTGGCCGCCAATTAGTTGGCTGCTTGAAAAACAGTCTTGACTCTACATTTTTTATTCAAAGAAGAAGACAGTAGTACTTATGAACAAATTAATGTTGTATATGTAAAATAACAGATTAGCTTAGAAACTGAACAAAGAGCAATTTGCATACCAGTATAGTTGCAGCGACAAGATACCATAATAGCATATATGTCAGTGTCTGAATAACTACTTCTCCGTTCAGTAGAAGTATGAGAAGGGCGTGTATTTGCTGAAAATGAAGTTTTTTCACCCAGACCCTTGGGGTTTTTCCACATTGATGATGCTGGTTTGAGGATGAAAGCATGCTCCTCACCTCTCCTGCCAGGATTGACAATGACACGGGAAAGACTTGTAAATCAAACATTAACTCAGAACTCGGGGTTTTTAAATTGGAGTTGCAGCGTCATAGATCTCTATAAATAATTTAGGATACACATGTACTTATGCAAAGACAAATTTGCACAGAACTCCACTTTGCTAGAAAGCTTTGTTATAGAAGTATATCAAAGTCTGCTTGTAGATAATGGGCAAGGCAGATTGCATGTTATCCTGGAACATGAAGATAAATAGAAAGGAATACAAGCAATGCACCATACAAACTTAAAGTTGGGGAACTACTTCAGCTTACACAAACAGAGATCACATGGAAAAAAAAACGTTTTATACCCCTCTCACAATTCCCTTATGAGTACGAAATTTAATCTGGTAGCTAATCAACTCAAATGTGCTAGTAAAGTCCCCAATAATTGGTCGCATCATCATGGCGGACTTCAATTGAACTCAACAATTCAATAAGGAACTGGTTAATTCATTTGCACTAGCCAGTTTTCTAACTTAGTCCCATCCTTTAAGCCAAAAATAAACTGAAGTCCCTCTATCTCAAACTAGACCCCAGAAAGTATATCAAATGTTCAAGTTCATTAAGGACTGAAAGTAACATTCTCCAACAAAAGAGAAAACATAATAAAGATGGTGAGACTTGAAAGGAGCTGGTTCGTTAATTTTCAGTAGCTAGTTCTCAAACTTAGTCCCATGCTTTCCACCAGTAACAAAACAGAAGTCCCTCTCTCTCTCCAGTAGACCCCAGAAAGTAATCAAATTCATTAAAAGATTGAAAATAACGTTCTCCAACTGAAGAGAAACCAGACTGGTGAGGCTTCAAAGACTGTCTAGCAAGCACCAATTGGGAGAAAACAAAGATACCTAGGGTGGACAACCACCTGAGGGCAAGATTTGGTAAACAGTGATCATCTCCAGCTTCAATGCATGCTATTGGCAACGACAAAGGCATGCCATCCTTGGAAGCCTCGTTGAAAACCATCGTTATAGCATCTATATACACCACTATATCCGGCAAGTGTGCTGGAGAAATGTTCTGCAGAAGAACTTGATAAATTAACAAGGCATTGGCAAAATGAAAGTTCCTTACAGGAAATTGCAGAAGCATGCTACATTGAGGAAGAAAACGAATGCAGAAGCATTAGAAGACTAAGCAAATATATTCACAGCAAGAGTTTATTCTTCCCAGATTCACACCTTTATCTGAACACAAAGCAAGTCATCTGTATTACAGTCTGCAGCGAAGGAATGGATCTCTACAGGTTGAATGATTTCAAGTTTTCTCCTCCATCTTTTTCCTGGAATGTACATGCCTTCCAGACCACACCGTACTGAAAATCTTTCTCGCTCTAATGACACGCCCCTGAAAGAGAGAAGTCCATCGCCATCCTTTTGACGATTTTGTCTCAACTTCTGAGATGAGTACTCTCCCCACTCATCAATGTCAAAGTTTGGTTTAGAACTTTGGGCTTTAACTGGTTGAGGAGGTGGAATACTATTCTGGGGCAGTGATGACATGGAGTAACTTCTGAAATGAGAGAAGAGCTGTGATCCAGAAGACACTGGCTTCTGAGATGTGGGAGCAAGAACTGGAATAGGAGCTCTTTGGGGTGGGGATAAGTTACGAGGAGGAGGAGGAAGAGTATTGTCCAAAGGAAGCAACCACGTTAAAAGTTGTCCATATGGATCAGCATTAGGGAAATTCTGTGCGTCAGGCTTCTCTGGACACAGATTTCTCATCTGGTATTTCTCAAACTGAAGAATCTCAATAACCGGGTCTCTCAGAATATGAGTACCAACATTAACTTGTAGAAGTACCTGTATCCTTCCAAACAAAGACGTGGAATGAGAATCGGTAGTTAACATGGGAAATTTTAACACATGACCACAGACAAGCATGGACATCTAATAAACTGTTGGGGCAAGAATCAGTAAACATTGCTGCATGCAAAATGAACCCTGAACCCACTGTTAGAGTCTTAGAGATTACAATGCTTGCGCTACCAAAATTTAGGCCAATTCTGTTGCAATTTAGATAAACTATTACCTCCATGGCCTATAAAGCAATAAGCGCCAAGGGGGGAAATTACAGTGATCTCGAGAATATAATGTTCACAGCTCATTGAGCATACGGGAGGGAGATCTTTACTGGATTGGTCAATAGAGCACATGATTTCAACTTTCGAGAATGTTAATCATATGGGGAACTGAGCTACGACCAATACAAGACATATAACATATCCCACAAAGACAGTTAAGTCTGACTGAAAAGACAAAAATCAAAACTTTTAAAATGTAGGTGTAAGAGTAAGAAACACAAAGATTAAACTTGGAGCACTTTTTAGAGATGTCAAAATAAACTTGAACCAGAAGGATTTCAGACACATACCACTATATCTCCATTTGAAAGAGACCAACAGTTAACACTGTTTCTGGCAGCTCCACCCGCAACATTGGCATCAAAATTTCCTTTGTCAATGAGAGCATTGAGATGAGTTTTGGCCTTTCCAGTTCCACTTCCAATGGAGCTCTGACCATCAATGTCAGCTAAATCACGGTTTTGTCCAGCTTTCTTGGACCAAAGTGGCTCATCTGACTCCGCAATCCTAACAAAAAAATGGGAGTTCTTGAATCTTTGCAACAATGTTTCAGTTTGTCTTTTGTGATCCTCCATTCTGAGAATGGATTCACTAGCAGACACATCGACTTTTGGATCACTCTTCTGTACTGACGAGTCATCGCCTTCCTCGCTTTTTGTAACTTGCTCACCGGCACTTGTTTCTCCTTCCGCATGACTTCTGTCATTCATGTTTCCATTCTGTCTCTCAGGGCTTTGTCCTATGCCATTTTTACACATAACAGCAGCGACTTTGAATGGAGTGATGGTTTCTGTATCTTGATCAGATGCTGACAAACATGCCAGTATATGAACTTGTTCACCTGAAATAAAAATGGTCACGTACCTTGCCAAATATAAGTAGACCAATTTCCACAGTTTATAAATATCAAGCTATCTATAATTACGTCATTCGGCGGAGGCAAAGAATATGTGGGGTACCAGGAAAGACAAATGATCGATCCAAGGAGCGCAGTGATTGTATATTGGGTGAAGAATTCCACTCATCTGGAAGTTCCTCTGCAAACAAATGAAAATCATTACAGACTGAAAATAAAACATAATGCTCCTTCTAATTTACGCATTGTACAGACTCAGCAATTCAGACATCAGTAACTGGAACATCAATAGGACTAGCAAACTGCAGAAGTCAGTGGATGGATCAGTACTGTGTGGAATAGTGATCCATCCTTCTTCTTCGGATACATCCGAATGCCCCTCAACGACACAAGAGCCTTTCTTTGACGCTGAACCCACGTCACTGCCATTCTCATCTCCAACTTCATCAGGCCCTCCTTGTCGATTTCTAGCCACTGGAGACTCGGGGAACGGATCTTCAGTAACAAGACCCTCCAGAGTCTTGGTAGGTCTCGCCATATACTGTGCGTCCACTGCAGGCTCGTGAGCAGAAACCTTTTCAGGTGCCACATGGTGACTAGAAGACCGTAACAGAAAATTCATTTCTTTCCCCCCAGGCAGACAGATTTCTGCAAAAGCCAAAATCGAAATGTCACAAATGCCGCACTGAAATCTTTGGCAAGCAACACGCTGGATGCACTAGCAGGGCAATCCAACTACAAAACTACTTCAACTCCTCTTTGGATCACCATGGAAAACCACTCTAGTTCGACAAATTGAGTAGGAACCTAGACTCCAAACTCCTTCTGAACTCCAACCAAACCATAGCGCGGCACCACAGTTTCGGAATACGGATTGGATTCAAAACGAAAAGAGATCAAATCTCGAAGTGTGAAGCCATTCAGGCAGACAGTGAAATTCAGTGGAAATGGGAGGAGCTGGAATTGGAAGGATCAAAATTGACTACGCAAAGTATGGATGGGGAAGCTTAGAACTCGAACACGATTTAGAATGAGAGAGACAGACAGAGACTGAAGATAGATCACCTGATCGGAGATCAAAGACGGAGCTCGCCTGAGGAACGACGGAGGTAGAGAGACAGAGATGGATCTACTTTCCTGGAGCGAGGCGATACGACATTGATACGTGCAAACGGTTCAGGAAGGTGGATTCGGGCTTCTGACATAAGGAAGGGGGAAAAAAGGTTCCGGTTCCCGGCAGAGAATAGCGGGCTTTTAATGGGCTCATGACAAAAATTGATTGCCCATGGAGCCCGTCCAGCATCAGGATATCCGGCCTGTAGTCCTACCCACGAAGAGATAGAGTGGCTAATTTTGTTTTTGAAAAGTAGGGCGCCCTGGCTAATTATCCACGAGTTTCAAGCACAAGGATGACGAGGCAGATGGATATACATTATACAGGCGAAATAATACTGCTAAAGGTTAGTTGGATAAGGATCGATAAGATATAGGGGTGTCGCCTCGGAATCGAAATTTGATGAGTGCCTGGATCAAGGGTTGGTTCAGTTGAATAAGGGAATGGAAAGTGGGTGGGGTTTGGATGATGGTGGACGTGTGTGATGGGTGAAATTGGATGAATTGGTGATTTGGGAAGGAAGCAGGAGGGAATTGGGAAGTTTGGTCGCGAGAGGGGAAAGAAGTGGCCGATTGCCCAAGGGAGGACTAGAGAGAGATTGGAGACTGATTAAAGTTTGCTTATTCCCTTTAATAATTCTCAATGCCAATGCTACGTAGACTCATAATCTCCTTCTACTAACAACTACCACAATAACCCCAAATATTCTCAATAATCCCAAATTCCCTAAAGTCTCAATGAATATCCTCAAATAATAAACTGCTGACACGCCACTAATCCGTGCCTACATCAGTCCCGGCCGCTTCGGAATAACCTTGCCCTTAAGATTAACGATCTGTGCCAGCCTTGCTTGCCTCCATCGCCACTTCTTCTTCTTCATCTTCAAACGTTCCCACCAGTAGCATGAGGTTGGCATTTGGCGCAGCGATGTCCGATGGTGTAGCACACATCGCAACTAACAAGTGAGTTCAGCAATGAACGAAGGATTCATGAACTACTTAGGCAAGGAAGTAGTAGAAATGTTGAAGAGGAGACAACCCGCTCTTGAACTTAAGACTATGCGCGTCGCGTGCTCGATGACGCAATCTTGGAAAATTCTTTTGATGAACTGTCACTAAACTCAAAAAGAAAGAAGAGAAAGACACCACACTCTCTTTCTTCGTGGGAAAAGAAATGGGCGAGCCTCCAAGCTTCACTATATACCCGAGGAAGGCCTATTTATGGGACATCTTCCCCAGTCACAATAAGCTTCCAGCTCTAAAGGCCCATCACTCCTGAGCAATATTTAAGTCCAGGTACCGCTTTATTTCGTTGATCTTATCGATGTGAGTCCCAGCAAGAATCACGTCGTCCACATAGATAAGAGCAAGGATGAACATTGAATCATGATTGAAAATCATCATCGAGTGGTCTGCCCTCGATTGGACAAAGCCAATGCCTTTCAGTGCCGAACTTCTGGTACCAATTTCGAGAGGCTTGCTTTAAGCCATACAGTTACTTTTTAAGTCTGCACACTCTGCTATAACCTTCCTTGGCAAATCCCTCCGGAATCTTTATGTAAATTTCTTCATCCAAGTCTCACCATGCAAAAATGCATTATTGGGGGAGGACCCCCCCTCGGTTCACGTCAAAGCCCGGAGAAAGCCCATCGCGGCAGCATAAGACACGACAAAAAAGAAAAGACTGGAGCGGATTTTCGTTTATTCCATCGAGCTAAAGCAAAAAAAGGTCAACCTCCTCTTGCACTCCATTTCAGCCAGAGTAAGACGCACGAACCCGTGTAACACGCACAGAATTGGGTTCAAACACTTTGACAACAGCTACAATTTATGGTTTTAACCCAGCTAAACACAAACCAACCAAGGTCTCCTCCGGAATTCCATAACACAAATTTCTCAAGCGTTCAAATTCGAACTGGAATTCACTTACAGTGCTGGTCTGTTTGAGTTTGACCAACTGCTCATAAGCATACTCGCCCGTCCCGCCGAATCGATCCGCAAATTCTTCCTTGAACCTTTCCCACGTGACTAGTTCCGCTCTCTTGGCGTAGGTACGCTTCAGCCACTCCCAGCATTGCTGCGCTCACTCCTCCAGGGAGAACGACGCGAGATAGGCTTGTCGTTCCTCTGGAATTTCCTGATGACGAAACACCTGCTCTGCTCGAGCCACCCACGACGCCGCGTCCTACAGCGGTTGGATGTTTGAGCGGTTTCCTACAACGCGCTCCTGCCCGAACCAAGTCGGTTCATCTCGGTTGACCCCAGTCGGGTCGAACATGGGTTTGAACCGAAACTGGTGTTTGTGATCAACCCAGCCAGCCGACCCGATTCCACCCCGCGGCTCTGATCCTCCTTTGATTGGCCCCGAAGGTCCTCCACAACCGTGTCTCGCACAACCGAGTGACCCACAGCTGGCGGCTCCCCCGCCGTCCCGTTCGCTCCGCTGCCTTCATCCCTGCCGTTCACCTCCTTGCCGCGATCCTATCGTGCGGTGCTCCCATCGATCGAGGTTGGGGATTCCTAACGTTGATCGCCGGCCTGTCCCCGCCGCTGCCCCTTTGCCCGGGACTGTCACCGCCGCTATGTCACCACCCTAGCGGAGGGACGCGATGGCCTAGATCAGGGCAGCAAAGCCGTTCTCCATGATCGTGGTCTGGCGCCCCAAGTTCGCCTGCCCTTGCTCTGCGGTGGCCGCTGCCTTTTGGCCTTGGTCCAATAGCATGTCCATTTTAGCCATTAGACCTTCCCGTCCTTCAACCAATTTCCCGATTTTGGCGTACACCACCTGAACATCGAGCTCATCTTGCACGGTGGGTTGATCCGACGTCGTTTGCGATTCTTTTGTCTTGCTCATTTTTTTGGTTTCTACTGTCATAAACCTTCACCCTAGCCAGACTCTGATACCAATTCATGAGTGTCTGGATCAAGGGTTGGTTCAGTTGAATAAGGGAATAGAAAGTGGGTAAGGTTTGGATGATGGTTTACGTGTGTGATGAGTGAAATTGGATGAGTTGGTGATTTGGGAAGGAAGCAGGAGGGAATTGGATAGTTTGGTCGTGAGAGGGGAGAGGGGAAAGAAGTGGCCGATCAGCCAAGGGAGGGCTAGAGAGAGAGATTGGAGAGTGATTAAAGTTTGTTTATTTTCTTTAATAATTCTCAATGACAATACTAAGTAGACTTATAGTCTTCTTCTACTAACAACTACCACAATAATCTCAAATCTCCCCAAATATTCTCAATAAACCCAATCCCCTAGAATCTCAATGAATATCCTCAAATAATAATGATTATAATTATTATTACTATGACATAATTAAAGTAATAAACTGTTGACACGTCACTAAATTGTACACTAATTTGTTTGTAATTCGGAACATAAAAATATTTATATCGGTAACAATGGTCTGCTCTTGTTAGCTTCCATCGGATAACCGGTCTAAAGATCAATATGAATAAAAGTAGGATGTGTCCAGTCAGTGAAGTTATATGTGTACATATAGACTGACTGGTAAGGGTGTGAATAAGAATTTTTGTCGACAATCTATCTTGGCCTACCATTGTGTGTTATTACCTCATCAGCCACAATTGGGAATGCAACCATCAACAAGCTTCATAAGAAAAATGGAAAGCGAGATTGATGTCTCTTGGCGAAAGGATCATTTTGAGCAATGTGTGTTTAGCAACACAATCTATTTACCTTGGCTCTCTTTTTCCAAGCTCCCAAAGCTATAATTTCAAGTAAAGAAAGGATTCAATGCAATTTTATCTGGTCGGGCTCTCAGAACAACGAAAACTGCACCTGATGTCAATGGATTCAAGCAAAGACCCTAAAGAGCTAAGGGGAATGAGAGTACATTATTTGAAATGTGAGTCCTGTGGCGAGTGCTTTTAGAAATCAAACCTGTAAGCACAAGCTCGGATTGGATGACTGACAAATTCTAGGGTGTTGCAGGTTGTAGCCCTTTATTGCAAAATTAAAGCATATCGTCTAGAATTTTGCTCATATAGAAGTGAGTGGGCCGTGATATTCCTTTTGGTATGATCGGTGGATCAACAACTTAACACTTGTAAAGCCTTTCTAGAAGGTGGTAGCTTATGCTATTTTTTCTAAAAACCGAGTATTGAAGAACTATTGAATCACCAATAAGAGAGTATTCTGGAAAATTCCTCTAACGACTTCTTTGAGGGGGGGGGGGGGGCAGAGAGAGAGAGTGAGTTTGTTTAATTTGCTTTATAGTGCAATTCATCTTCGTTGATTTTTTTCAGGGCCAAGGAGATTGGCTTGGTAGCCTTCATATATCACAAGTTTCATAGTGAAGTTCATGTACAAGGAACTCTTGCTAGAAAGACATCCAAGAGGAGAAGACTTCCCTCATAGCCCATAGCTTGTTGTACCAATGGACAATCTCATTCAAGATATGTGTCTTTTCTGGGTGGTGTTTCAGAGGAAAATGCTCACACATGATTCACTTAAGAGAGTGGGTGACATATTCCAAGTAGATGTGTTATGTGTATGAGTAGCGAGGAGGATCCTGATCATATCTCCCTCACTTGTTGATTTATAAAGATGTATATAATATAATTTGTAGATTTGTGACGATTGATAATAGCTCTAGGGGGATATTATAGCAACAATCAAGTGATGATCGAAACAAGAACTAGTAGGCCTTGCTCAGTGGTGCACCAAGGTATTGTTGCACGCATTATGTTGGAGTTTGTGGAAGGAGCAAAACTATAGGATGTTTGAAGATAGAGCTTTCCACACCACATGTTGTATGCTGCATAATTAGTTACTTGATTGCAAGTTGGCTTGTATATGTAAAGAAGGTGGACCCAGTCAATTCGAATTGTCTACTTTCACCCTTAACAATTGTAAATTTGTAATTTTCTCAAAATGAGTCAATGTGAAATTATCCGGATATAATCACTTTGTCTAAATTCTAAATTTTATACTACCAAATGAATCAATTTGACCAAATTATCTCAAAACAAAACAATTGAGAATCAAATTGATCGGTCCTATCTAAAATTCCAAACAACCCCAAACTAGTACTTGTACTTTGCAAACACAAGGGTTCTATTTGCCTAGCTCGCTCGCAGCCTCTTGTTCAGTATCACATGTCAAATTTTGCACAGTGTTGATGTGCATCTCCCCTTCAACTTCGTTCATTCAAACTCTTCCTCCCACTTCCTAACACACACCGCACCCAGATATTTTCCCACCGTTTCCTCCAATTCAATCAACTGACCATCAAAAGCAACCAGCCACCCAAAATTACACAATCACTGCTCTTGCTCTTCTTCCCTTTCTGTAAAATCTATGGGCTCTTCCTTCCCTAACTGAATTGAATTGAGTTGAAATAATCTGTGGGTCTGTTCGTGTTCTTGGCTGGTAGTAGTGGTTGGAGATTATCTTGTGAAAAAGCTTCAGCTTTGAGCTGTTTACGCACCAGCGAAATCAACCTGCCACATGGGATTGGCGCTAATCACCGACGAAGGCAGGATTACGAGGAGGACTTCGAACTCGGGAGCTCTTGATGGAACCACCGCAACTGGGTCTGATCGAGCAGTCTTTCAATAGCAGGTACTCCAACTGGGCACGCGAGGCGCTCGACGAATTGCCTGACAACTTCACTATCACCGATCCTTGCATTTCGGGCCACCCAATCGTGTTCGCCAGCCGGGGCTTCCTCAAGATGTCCGGATACTCGCGCGACCAAGTGGTTGGGAGGAACGGCAGGATGTTCCAAGGTCCCAACACTTGCAGAAGATCGGTCATGGAGATTCGAGAGGCGATTCGGGAGGAGCGCGGGGTGGAGATCAGTTTGTTGAATTATCGGAAAGATGGGACGCCGTTCTGGATGTTGTTTCGGATGACGCCGGTCTTTGGTAAGGATGAGGGCCGGGTGATACATTTCGTCGCCGTTCAAGTTCCCATCCTGCGCCGGAGGCAGAGGAGGAGAAATGGGGAGGGTTTGTGCGGCGAGATTTTGTCTAATTCCTGCAGAAGGGAAGTCTGCTCCAGTTCTTCGGTGGAATTGGCTGGAGTTTCGGCGGCGGATTCCGATTGTAGAGGTTGGTCTATCAAAATTGCAACTTTTTCTCACCGTCTTCAACTTCCTGGTATTAGTTTTCTTCATAGTTTCTGGTTGGAGAGTACCAAAGGAGACCGATGCTTGAGTTCTGTGCATTGTCTTACGGGAGAGTTGAATACTTCTTTTGGTAACATGTTGATAATTACGTGTTTCCAAAAGATTGCAAGCCACTGAATGGGTTTCAGCTAATTTCATATCTACAATTTGCGTTAGTCCTTTTACCTGTATGTTCCTTAGTCTTAGCTTTTACTGCTGTGAATGGCCGTTACCAGCAGAGCTTGTCTGGAAGATTTCCTTGAGCTCTCCATTTTTTATTTGTGCCTCTTCCAGTTGATCACATTTTTGTTCTGTTTCCGTTAAAGACATTTGGTTCACGATGTGTAATTTCTTTCTAATTACAGCACTAGAGATTGAAGAAAAATGCGAGGCCAGTGACACAGAGAAGCAATTAGCTGCAACTGCTATTAGAAACGTCTTGTCTGTGCTAACCCACTATAGCGAATCGACAGGAAGATTGGTCTGTGAAAAGAGATTTGGCCCCAGCTTCGTCAGTTCATCTTTACATATCTCTCTTGGTAGAATCAAACAAAGCTTTGTATTGTGAGTTTGTTTTTATTTTTTTGCTTATCATGCAATTTCCGAGTGTTCTAGCTTTCTGAGACAGTACTGTCTTCAAGAGTTAATATCTTTTTGGATGTCTTTGCTTTCAGGGTGGATCCACATTTACCGGATATCCCTATTGTTTATGCTAGTGATGCCTTCTTAAGAATGACAGGTGCTTTAGGTTTCACATGGCTTTACTTGCTGTAATGTGCAGGCTGCTGTTCTCTTTCGGGTCTTTTTATCCATTTTCTCGGTTTTGTAGGGTATGCTCGGAATGAAGTTTTAGGGCAAAACTGTAGGTTCTTAACTGGTGTTGATACAGATCCCTCAGCTCTACATCAGGTGTCTCGGTGTCGGTTCTCTTATTTTATTGGGTACAGGCTTCCTTTGTTATTTTCCTATACTTGTAATGGAGCCTCTAGTTGACTGAAAACTTACTGTTTTTTCAGATAAAGCAAAGTATTCAAGCTCAACAAGCATGCTCAGTACGTATTTTACATTACAGGTTGATGCTCAACTATTCTCGAGTTGATAGCTTAACAAGCGATATCATGTTCTCTGTCCCTCTCACAATGATTAGCTATATTCTTCTCTGATAATAGGAAGGATAAGAGCTCGTTTTGGAATCTTCTTCACATTTCACCAGTTCGTAATGCTACTGGCAAGGTACTTTGAAACTGCACTTCTCCACCCCCTTCAACTTTCTGTGTTCTGCAGTTGTGATATTACGTTAAACCCAGGTTGGCTTGCTATTTCTATGTTTTATATACACTGATCTTGAGTGATGGAAAAACTGAAAAGAGAGGACTTGCGAATGTATAGAATGAAACAGATAAATGCCAGTTGAGGTTGAAGTAGTAAATCATTTGTTTTCTTGACATCCATTAATCACTTAAAACTGATTGTCCGTGTTGTGGCCTCTTGTTAGGGCCACTTTTGTGTTTCGGATTTGCACGACTTAGTCGGTCTTGCTTCTTAATCTTCATCCCTATGGTTGTTCGTTCAGATAGCATACTTTGTGGGTGTCCAGATTGAAGAAGGCAGTGTGGACCGACATGGATTGAGCCCTGAGATGAGGCAGCTGAGCGTCGTTGGATCAATCAAGGTGGCAGTGAGGATTTCATCAATGTCCTCTTCCTCCAAATCACCATAGCATTCATTGATTCCATACACCAGCAGAGACAGTGAAATAGAGCATCCTCTTGATGTAGCAGAACATTTTATCATTAAAAGTTAAGCTCTGTACTCGGACCCTTTGAACAAGACATTTCAAGTCTTTTCGGTGAAAAATGGGCTTGCCTTCGTTATGCTCGGTGAGCAAGACTAGGCAATTGTGAGCACTGAAGAGCAAAATTAATAGTGCTAAAGTTGCATTCGCTGAGTACACATTCGTTGCGGTGAACCCAAGTATGGTCGTGAATCGTGATGGGATCAGTGGGCTTGCACATGTTGTCAAAATGAAGAAACTTAGGCCCTGTTCACTTCCATTTTCGTTTCCTGTTTTCTGTTTTCATGTTACAAATTTGGGAAACGAAACGAGAAAACATGTTTACTTTTCATTCTGTTTTCTATTCGTTTCCAACTCTGAAAACAGAAAGTGGCAAATTCCTACTGTTTTCGAAAACGAAAAAATGTCGTTTTCACCTGTTTTCTCAAAAACAGTAAAAAGAAATGAAAGTAAACAGGGTCTTAGTGTTTGCAGCAGATAGATGAAAAAAACTCAAAATTTAGCTTATTTGGAGATGCGGGGTATCGATCCCCGTACCTCTCGCATGCTAAGCGAGCGCTCTACCATCTGAGCTACATCCCCACTTTAGTGAAAAGAATTATATTATATCATATTTGTAGTTCTAGTTGTAAATCGAGATATTTCAACACGCTATAAAAATTGGTAGCAAAAGCTACCTAATCGATATTTCTAAATGGCATCCCAACCCATATTCGATCTGATGAGTGTTAGGCTACGACATTGCTAGGACTTAGGAGAAGCTCTTGGTTTTGTTTTGTTGACGTCTCTTATTTACATGAAAAACTCCAGTGTATGTTTTTTTTTTTCAAAGCAAGCCCAAAGGGGTACTACAGACTAAAATAAGATTGGATGCAACCAAACACGCTAGTACGCATGAAACCGAACTATCAGCGAAAGAGCCTGTTTTGGCACTATATAACCAACTTTATTGATAATTGTTTCATTGGGTACACATTCTTTTTCAATGAACCAGAGAATAGTCGTGCTCGGATGATTGGGTTGCAGTACTCAAGAAATGTGTTGTTTGCCTCAAGGTTATTAGGTGAAAATTATTCTTTTCAATTCTGTGAATTTGGCCAGATGTTCTAAATTTTGAGAGGGATTGAGCACTTGAAATTAGTAGATGAAAAAGACAATCTAATTTGAAATACATGATATATTGTTATCTCTACATGCAAAGCAAGCACTCTACCATCTGAGCTACATTCCCACTTCATTTGTTTATTCGATCCTGTAAAAAACTTTGGTACGTGGCAAAGCTAGCTAACTACTCCGAACACAGTGATGAAAAACAAACCAAAGTTTTCCAGGAAGACAAAAAACATTGGGGGTTTTACATTTTTGAAGCCAAAGAAGAACTATCACTATTCACTAACAAATTAAGGCCCAAATACCACCAAAAAAAAATCCTATCCATTGCCAGCTGGCACCAGGTTAACTTCCCATAATCAGCCAGCACCACGTAAATTTCTTTCTTTTTCCTTCTCCTCCTCTCCGACTTTCCTCCCTATGGCTCTTAACTTATGTACAAAAACCCTTTCTTCTCTCAACCTCAACCACATTGTTCCTCCTCACCCACTAGAAGCTGCAGTTATGTTGACGGCGACGACGACGACAACAACGATGATACTGATCTGTACTTGTAGCGACAAGCCCAGAGTAGGTAGTGCAAGAAGTTCAAGACACTCAGCACGCACATAAGCCAGTAGAATCTCTCCAAGTGATAGTGGTCGATGTTCCCTCCGGACAGCCACGGCTTGTGATCCGACAACCTAGTCACGTCGTTCACCACCGACACGATCACCGAGCTGAGGTAGTACCCCATCGCCAGCGAAGCCCACGACAGCGACGTGGCCAGCGACCTCATGCTCGCCGGCGCCTCGGAGAAGAAGAACTCCAACAGCCCCGCCAGCGTGAAGAGATCCGCCGAACCCAAGAACAAGTACTGAAACGCTATCCAGAAGAAAGTGATCGGCAGCGGCGGCTCTCTGTCGTCGATGGTGGCGGCGGCGACGACTCTCTTCCTCTTGATCTCCACGAGTGCGGCGGTGGCCATGGCGACGATGGAGAGGAACAGCCCGACCCCGATTCGCTGGAGGTGGGTGATGCCCGTCTCGGACTTGGTGAGTCGCCTGGCGAAGGGGATGATGAAGTGGTCGTAGATCGGGGCGAGGATCATGATGAAGACGACGGGGAAGATTGGTAAGGAAGCCGGCGGGACTTTTAAGGAGCCGAGCTTGGTGGTCATGGTGGCGGCTTGTTGGACGGAGAAGGTGGAGAGCTGGGCGAGGCAGCAGTTGAGCATGATGGTGCAGGCGAAGATGGGGAGGACTTTGATCACCACCTTCACGTCTTCCACTTGTTGGACCGTGCATTGGAAAGGCTTGCTCATCACGGCGGTGTTCAGGCAGCTGAGGCTCTTTGTTAGGGTTTCCGGATTAGGGTTTGGATTGGGATTGGGATTGGGATGGCTAGCTCCATTTTCAGTTGTTGTTGATTCCTTTGTTGTTGTTGATGATGCTTGTTGTTGTTGTTGTGGTGGTGGAGGTGGTGGAGGGTTGCATGGGCTTGCAGCCAAGTTTACTATGGCATTGCTTGGAGTTTTGTTCACACATCGGTTGATTGATGCCGCAATCAAAACCTGTAACAAGAGATTAGACAAGTTAGCAACTTTAGATAGAGTAAGGTGTGAAAAGGGTTAGATCGAGATATCTTATCAAACTATTAAAGAGTTTGATACATAATTAAAATACCAAGATCAACCTACAATTTTTCTAGAATTATTGCCTTTCTCTAGCGACGAGTTCCGATCCTTCGTCGCAACGAAGAACTTGTTCGTCCCAACAACTAGAATCGTCGAGAGAAGTTTCAGATACAACATATATATATGTGGATGGTTCTATCGTACACTAGGCAAAACTTGATATATGTCGTACACCAGATAATTTCCACCGTCCACGTACATCTCAACGGCCAACATAAATGAGGTACGTGGACAGTGGAAATTGCTGGTGTACGATATTACCCTAATATATATATTTGTTGTATGATAGAAGTGGGGTACGTGTGCTTACTTTGGAAATGGTGGTGAGAGGGGAGCCGGAGGGGATTTTGTTTCTGTAGGTAAAGGAGCCAGAAAGGAAGATTGGGATGGAGAGGAAGATGGCAATGGTGGAGATGCCAAACCCCCATTCCCAACCTTTGTTGTCTTCGACCCAGACCACGAACGTGACGGCGATTAGGGCGCCGGTGGAGAGGCAGAAGACGAAGTAGTTGAAGAAGGTGGATCTCTGCTTCCTTCCTTTTGGTGTGTTGTCGTCGAACTGCTCGGCGCCGTGCGGAGGGAGCGAGCCTTTGATCCCGCCGACTCCGAGGGCGACTAAGTAGAGGCCGATGAAGAGCATTGCAGCTTGCCCTCCGTGGACCGTCTCGCATGAGTTGCTTCCTGGGGTGCATGTTGGTGGTTGTAGTGATGGTGACCTAGCTTGGATTGTAAGGATCACCAAACCCTAAAAAAAAAAAGGGAGGGGAAGAAATGTTATGAGCGAAAGGCAGACTGTTACGATTGAATGATAGTGTAGACTTTCTTAATATACTCGAAACGGAGGAAAGTCGAGAGAAAAAAATACCATCAAACAAGATCATACATGCATGTCACATATTATACATACAAATAAATTGACCATTCGTTTCGTCAATCTAAGAGATAGGCGAAAATTTTCAAAAGCAAACCTAATTGCATCACATATTTTTATTTATACAAATGACCGTATCATATTGTATTTTGAAATTTGTATATAGAATCTTTTGTCTTATCATATAAGTCAACAAATCGTTACTTTTGAGAATGGTATGATAGGATGATTCAGCATCAAATCACATAACCTAATCGTCAGGAACCCGCATATCATATCACGTTTAGAGGCAAGTTCGTCATGTTATTTTACGAATAACACAAAATTTTAAAGTTTTCTTTAATATGAGCCACCGATAACTATATAGGGTTTTTTTTTTTGTTTATAACAAATGTAGCCATAGATGTTGCATTCAATATTTTTCATACATACACATATGTATATAAGACAAATACATGGGCTAGCGGATAGACTTATAATTGGTAGAGAATCGCCACCGTTTTTTCTCTCTATATGCATATATATGCCATATGTGATTTCATTCCAAGAAAGTGATAGAATGAGGACAAAGTGTGAAAACGATCACCAACTAGGGAATGGGACACTACATCCACACAATTAGTTTTGTAAGTTCTTTTTTTATTTATGGGAATATCTTTTGCATTTTATGTCAGAAAGGAATATATGCAGCCTTATAAATTGGAACTCCATCCTTATCAACATATTGTAATGGGGATTTTGTGAAATTAAGGTCATAAGTTGTTGTGACACTAGTTAAGCTATATATGTTCCCTTCATGTGTCAAGTAAGAGACAAAATTTAATGCTGAAAATGACAAGAATATATATATTGGGGATGTGTTCTTTTTCATTGTTGTGTTCTATTTTCGTCTTGTCATAGATAAGATGAACAAGTTCAGAGTATGCACATATAAGTGGATATTTATGAAAATTGACCTTTGAGATCCTAATTCATTGGCATAAAATTTATGTTTTCCCTAACCTTATCTAGTGAAATAAGATGTAGAGAGAATAATCAAACGCTTAATTCAGATTGTTCACTTGTGTTCGAGTACTGAATAAAAATCAAGGTTTATTGCGTAACAAAATGAACGAACCTATTCATCATTCAAAAAAAAAAAGAAAAAGAATGAACGATCTTATATTTTGTACTAAGAAAAAGCAAATTATTACTCATTATTGCGTAACAAAATGAACGAACCTATTCATCATTCATAAAAAAAAATGAACGAACGAACTTATATTTTATACTAAGAAAAAGAAAATTATTACTCAGAATTAAACTAACATTAATAAAATTCATAAGTATATCCCAAATATTGAAAGTTGATTAATTGACTTGGTTGACTCCTTCATCAAAATGTGGTTGACTCTCGTTGGAAAGCTACGTATGTTATTGGACACGTATTAGAAGATATCTGCTTTCATTCACAGTGCATACATACTAGATAAGTCATAAAATATGTCTTATTATTAATTAATATCTCTAATGATAAAAAAATCAATTTTCACATCCAAACCCATCCTATACCACTAATTATATATTGGCATGTTGTTCCTTCTGCGTAATCATTATGATAATGATTCTTTTTTAAATTAAATATGTATATGTGACGATCATCATATTAAACAACATTGTCACATAAATTTAATGATTGATCTTATATATAGTCGATTAATAAGGAAGAAGAAGGTTCATAGTCAAAACTGCAAAAGACTGACAAACGGAAAACCCCAAAAACCAAAACTGTGGATTCTATGCCTAACCAATCATGGGACTGCCTCTGCCGTTGCCTGCCTTGAAACTCGTGCAATGCAACGTGCGCCGATTCGATTGGCAAATAGCAGTAGCCTCCCTTCCCTTCCCTTCTGTCGGTCAGGTTTATTATTATTATTAATTATTAATTACTTTCTCTGAACAACACGCAACTCAATGGGAGGATGATGATAATCGGATAATAACCCCTCAATTTTTTCCTCAGTGCTCCAGCAGTACCCAACTCTAGACGGTTTTTTTACGAACAAGTCCAAAGTTAACGGATCCAGCCGAGCCGTTAAATTATGGGCAGCCATACAAAATTTAGAGTACAAATTCATACCCCCACCACCACCTATGTTCATTTCAATTCCCCATTCACAGAACAGGGAGTTCAATTTGTTCTTATTTATGTGGAAATTAAATGATGAATCATAACTTATGTTGCAGCCCGGCGTGGCACATTTGCCACCCCCTATCTATCCATTATACGCGTATTATCCTATCGTATCGTTTAACTGCATATCACACTATGAGCGGTTACGATCCTTTAGCATTTTTTACCATCGAAAATCTTACCAATTCAATGTCGGAGTAAGATTTCACAAAGCCTTGCATGTGAATAAAGTAACTAAGGGTGAGGACTGAGGAGAGAGAGAGAGAGAGAGAGAGAGAGAATTTGTGATTAACAAAGGGCCAACCAGCTAAGCTATAGCTAGCTATTCTAGGGTAATTAAGAAGAGTGGTACATTACAATTTACATACATACCATGAATTCAACGGCGGCACTTAGGAGGTAGATCTGATAGGCGGTGAGGAAAGCGTCGGAAAGGAAGCCACCGAGGAGGGCCAAAAGGAAAGACGTGCCCATGAAGTTGGTGACATTATTTGCCGATTTGGAGGGCGAGAAGTGCATGAACTCTGACATGTACATCACCAAGTTGCTCGCGTTCGCCAGGTACGCCAGGTTCTCCAGCACCTCCACAACTGCAATCCTCCATCATCACCATCCTCAAAATTAAACACAACACAAAATTCCCCTGTTTCTCCAATCCACATAGTGACATATCATACATACATACCGAGAACAAAGGAAGCAGCCAGCATGCCGCCATGGCGGCCTCGAATCGCAGGCCTGTTCCTCCAATCCACATACCCTTCCCATCTCCCCGCCACTTCCAATTCTTCCTCCTGCAACAAACCCACATCAACATCAGTGCAAAACAGAGACAGGGGAAAAACAGAGACAGGGGGGAAAAAACAGAGACATGGTTGAAATTGAAGAGATCATCCATCATCGACTGGGGGAAAAAAGAAAAGGGCGGCGGCGAACAGGAAGGAAGGAAGGAAAGAAAGAAAGGGAGATTTCAACGGGTACCATTTGTTGTTGTAATGGTAAAGCGGCTTGGGGCTAGGGGTGGTGTTAGCTTAAGAGTGAAGGCGAGAATTATATGTGAACTCCAGTTGATCAAAAAAGAAGAAATAAAGTGAGGAGGAAGAAGTTCAAAAGGGGAGAGGAAAAGATGAAGGAGAGAGTGGGAAAAGGGGAACCCACCATTAATTTGGATCTTTTGCTTTCGTTCTCCACCCTCCTCTTCTTCCTTTTTTCCTCTTCCAAGTTGGCTACTTGAGAGAGAGAGAGAGAGAGAGAGAGAGAGAGAGAGAGAGAGAGAGAGAGAGGAGAAGGGGGGAAATTGGATCTTTGGGGTTGGAAAAGAAAGAGTGATGGGTAGTGGAGGATTTATAGGTGAGGGCATCTAAGGAGAGTGATAGAGAAATGACTTGCACATATTAAAAAAGCTACTATGATTTGTTAGTAATCTTAAAGAAGGAAGCACATCTTAACAAAAGTGAGGGTCCAAGTTGGGACAAAATTGTCTATACACTTTGCATTACTCAATTCATGTGTTTCGGTCTTAATGCTCCCACCCTGGACTGGAAAAATTGCAAATTTTAGTTTTTTTTTAGAGAATCGGGAAATTTGTTGGAGCGCAAATTTAGTGTGGAACATCGCGAATGTTTCAGATTTATCCCCACTTTGATATTATCGGGTTGCCGTCTGTGTAGGTTATATTAATTCAACGACAATTGAAATCTCATCTCTTTACTAATAGATAAAAATAAGAACACATTCCTTATCTACTAAAATTGTTCACTTCAATTTGTAACCGCAAATCGAGCGCAAATACTTCCATTGCAAGCGGACAGGTGTAGAATCAACTCCTTAGGGCTTGGAGCCTCAAAGAATGATTAAGAGTGAGATAAAAATAGCCAAAGGAGGAAAAGATAAAGCTCATGAATAACTGCTTTCATATGCTAAATCTTTGGTTTATGAAACTGTACCGAAAGTCATCTTGAACTCATTTGTGATAGGGTATTTAGTAGCACGGTTGTATGTTCAACTATTTCATAATGGTAAAGTATAATTTTTTTGATAAAAAGATTTATGAAAAAATAGTAAAGTCCAAAATATTATATCGGAATATGGCATATAGCAAGTTGTATAATATTATATAGTCATGGGCAATGGAACAGTCAACCAACCTTGTTGTCAACCGATATTTGATGCCAAAACATGGAAACCATAAAATGATCGATTACTGCCAAGATCCACCGAAATTTAAAACATTGCTATAAGAAGAAACCCCAACATGGCTTCCATAGAGAGTGAGCTGAGCTGAACCACTTAGAGATGGCAATTTCAACCCGCCCTGCGGGTATTACCCGATCTGATCCGCGATGGACGGGTATTACCCGACCCGTAGTAGCGTGGGGCAGGGCATGGGTATCTACTTCCGACCCGCCCTGCCCCGCCCCCGTTTTAGACTCATTTTATCTCAATCTCTTACAATATCTATACATATTTCTCCTATTTTGACTTTTCTTCAACTAGTTAGGCTCAATTATCCATTCTATCATCAATATTTTTCATTCTTAAAGGGTTTTTCCCTACGTTTTATTAAAAAAAGTAAAATTTACTTGTATTTTTTCTGAACAACATGTAAGAGTGGGTCGAACCGCCCCGCCCCGCCCCGTACCAGCGCGGGTTTTACCCGCCCCGACCCATAGTAGCGTGGGGCGGGGCATGGGAATTGAGGTACCCGCCCCGCCCCGCCCCATTGCCATCACTAGAACCACTTGGTTGTCTGATGATATGAATCCTAACTATGTTTTATGGTATTAATTGAATGCAATATGTATGGTTGTTTTAGAGTGTTCGATCAATAAGACAAATTCTATTTGATGTTATATCGATAATAAAATAAATACTCATATCATGGAACAAGTTTAACATCCAACTTCTGATTGTGATCTTCTTGTTTTACTGGTTGACTTTCGACTCAATTATAAAAACATTGACCCTAAATTTTACATATATTAAAGCTAAAAAATGTTTGTTCATTAATAAATAAAAATAACTTACGTTTAAATTTTCTCATAACATGTTTGATTAACAATTGCAAATATTAGTTATAAAAAAATAATTGCAAATATTTCCACAAAATCATAAATGATAAAATAAAATGAAAAGCTGTAAATCAATTATTATCCAAATCCGAACACTTATTTAATTTTTATATCATGTTAATTCAAATTAAAATATATAAGAATTAAAAAGCAGCCATCTTTGGTATTCTATCACACCAACAATGTAACATTTTGTTTGTAATACTATAAATATGTGTAATAATAAAGTCATATAGTTATATACTTTTTTTAGCTTACTACATTGATACTATCATAAAGTGAAAATGCTAACATTAAAATACATTATCAAAATCACGTATGCACATTCTTACATAATAAAATTACTAAAATATATATAATTCAATCATGTTCCTTCATGATACACGATAATTCCATTTATGTAAGAACATTATTAATGATTTTGAAATTTTTAATATTTGTTTACAAAGTTACTTTGATATGAATGAAAGTGCAATTGATAAAAGAAAATCACAGAAAACCCGATTTATATATGTATAAAAATAAATTTGACATCCTTCACTTATCAAATACCGTATAATTATTTTTCTCTAATGAAACCCATCTTCTCATTTTGTTTTTTTACATAAGTAATTTCCCCCCAAACTTCCCTGCAAACTTATCAAAACAATTGCTTTACTTTTGAGTCTAATGCAAATCTAATCTCTTCTATTTGTTTATTATTTTTGGACAAAGTTTTTTTTTATGTGTGCATGAAGATAGAAAATCTTGGATCAGATACATATGCATAAGCTAAAAATTATGTTAGCTTAATAACCAAGTTTCATGATTAGAAAGATCTCAGGGTTGAAATTCAAATAAATATTTTTATGAACCTAATTTTATTAATTGAATTGTATCTTCTTCAGTTTAAGCAGAATTTCAATAACTATTTCACAAAAATTAAATTAACTATGATCTACAAAGGAATATCCATTTATATATTTTTAGAAAAATTTTCAATTGTGTACACCACAATGATATTTTTTTCAATTTCATACTACCATGATATAAGAGACGTTCGTATACGTTCTTTTTTCTAAATTATATCACAGTAGTCAGTAAATGCAGTTTTTTTTAGTATATTTATTTGATTTTTTATGCAAAAAATGAGAAATCAAATGACAACCCTATTTGGTATTATATCATAACAAAAATGTAATATTTTGTTTGTACTGCTACAGATATGTTTACTAATACACTCACATAGTTTTATATTAAAAAGAGAAAATAATCATGTGCGTACTACATTAGTTGTTATGAAGTGAAAATGCCAACTTTCTAAGTTAAATATATTATTACAATGATGTATTTATTAAAATACACCTACATGGTTTAGTCATGTGCCACCATGATACACGATAATTCCTACATGATAAAAATTTATTAAAATATACCTAGATTCTTTTTTCGAACATATACAGTAAATGTCATTTTGAAGAGTATTTTTTAATCTTTCCATGCATAAATACGAAATCTGAGTTAAAACGAATAAGATATATTGCGTCAAAACTAAAGTTGAAGTGGTTATGTATTTTTGATTAATTTTAGGGTTATGCACCTAAACACGTTTCATAATAATTACCTTTTGTCTTTCAAAAAAGAAAAAAATAGAAGTGTGATTCAGTTACCTTTTTCGCATTTCAACTTTGCTCAAGTCACCATTGTTCGCAAAATTCTCTTTGCTTTTCCATCTTTTTTTCCTCCCACAACCATAGCTCATTTTTTTGCATACTTTTCTATGTCGGCTCTGCTCAAACCTCTGTCATTCGTAATTACGTTAAAATCATAACATTCTCCTCATTTTGATTTTGCTTGATTGTTGGTTAGTTAATAATTAGAACAAGCTAAGTCACCACCTTTCCACATAAATATGCATTTTGACTTCATTCAAGCTGCCTTTGTTCCTAATTCTTTCACCATACCTATATAGATTGGGTTTATACAACCTCTCATCTCCAATCAATTCTAAATAACAAATCTTGATCAATTTTCAATAAGAATACATCAATTACTTTATGCTAGCCATCACCTAATTCATATAAGTAGTTTGTTAGAATGTTATGAGAGAACTCAATTGCATAATGGAAAACTAAAACTCAATTCAGTTCTAATAATGATGACATTAAACTATAAGGAGGAACATTACAACCCATTACTATTTTCTTTGGATCTTTAGTTATTGAATTAAAATTGTATGATAATGTAAAGTGGAGGCTAAGTGTCCCTAAAGCTAATTTTTATATAATTATTTAAAGGTTAAGGGTAATACATAATTATAGATATATAGATTGGCAGTATAGAACAACAACTACACCTCAAGAACATGCTCTTAATATGCAATTGTCTCTCCCTTTCATTTATGTTATGTAAGAAAATTAAAACTACACCTCAAGAACATGCTCTTAATATGCAATTGTCTCTCCCTTTCATTTATGTTATGTAAGAAAATTAAGTACATCATGGAAAAAGAATGGTGCATAACAATCGTATCTTTTGGCTTTAGATATATGAGTGCAAGATGGATAGATATTTGACTGATGTGCATGAATTATACCTATATATAAGGGGGTCGAATTTAGCATTGATTGAGCAGTCTACTACCACAAGAATGTTCAACTACTAAGTTTGTTGAGTTATACATTCATCAAATGAAGAAATAAGTTGAAATGACTCAGATTCGATCATTATATATGATAATTTTAATCACCTACGTGAATTTTTGTTGCAGGACTGAAAAATGTTGACGCTCACAATATTTGGCCCAAACATATAGATCCACGTAAGACAAATTCAACGAAAAGATATGTACAACATATGAAGTTCAAAATTGTTGGACAATCAAAGAGCATATGATTGTGAATATGATCTTCAAAATGATGATGAAGTATTGACTCTTATTGCTTTACATGATAATGGCTCCTAGCCGGTCCTCCTATCAGACAATGCTCGAATAATAAATAATTTCCATAAATATATACGAAAAAAATAGTAACCTACCTCTATAAAAAAAAAAACATGCCGCCCACCGGATGGGCAAAAAACTAGTATTCTTTATGTTTGTTTTCCTTTAACCTATTCTTTAACCTATCTTTATGCAATGGGAGTATGAGAAATTATTGTCGGCTCTTCGCAACTAGTGTTCTAGTATGTTTCAAGGTTGTGTTGTTCACCCATTAAAGCAGTATGTGAGGTGGGTTCAGAACATCACGAGA